TCCGCCACCGTTTTCCCCCTTGGGCCTACGCAGGAGGCACTTCCCTTGTCATCTACTTCCTTCTGGAAAATTCCGAAGATGTCGCAGATTGTTTCGCAACGGATCAATTTATGCAGAATATCTGACAGCAGGGGTCCGGAGTCTGATCGCTCAACACAGCCCTCCTACGTCCTGAGCTCTGACGCTTCGAGCGTCGGCTTAAGTGTACTTGCCGGCTGTTGAGCCACCTTCGACCCCGTAACCCGCCCTTCGGAAGGCTGGATGCCTGTGCTTGCCGTCGCTGGGAAGTGTTGGACTGCCGAGAGAGGTGGCTTCACCCATGCCGAGACTGTCTTTCTCCGCTGTTGACATGGCAGTCCGTCTTCACTCGATTCATCTCCCAGTATCTGTATCGACTGGTCCTACCGTACGCGCACTCTAAGCCTAAATTTGGCACCTTCGAAATCGCCTTCACCGGCTGCCTCCTGATGTAACGACGGCAGCAGCCGAGACGCTCTGTGTCAGCCGTAAGCGATTGTTACCATTTTCTAAGATTCAGAGCCCAGAGGGGTTGCCCACGGGACCAACACGGCAGGATGCACCACGCATGACGGTTCCTCGCAGCGGAGTGCCGGCACTCGACAATTACTTGGAGGAGCCGCGTTACTCAAGAGGATCCGCGGCCGTTGGATCCAGGGCCGGGTCGTTGGACGGATCGTATCGTGAATGTACACTGCAACCTGCCTTGGTCAATTCGCCACGCGGGGTGGCCGCCCGCATGATGTTTCCAATATTCGTGGGGAAACCGCATGCAGTATCGGATCTCAGTTCAGCTTGGCGCTGGTGCTTGGCCGAGGTTCTCACTGCTCGAACATTGCATCTCCGTCCGTCCGCTGCCTCAAGGTTGGTGACATCCCCAGACTCCCTCTCTCTTTCTCTCTCTCGACATTGCCGTTCCTACTCAAGGTGGTGTATTAATGACACCGTGTTACCAGCTCGGCTACCACCTCTGGAATTTCTCGCTTTGACGGCCCTGTTGCCGAGCTCTCTTGCAACGCTCACTAGGAGACTCGGAATCAGGCGCTTTCACAGCTGCCTCTTGGGGAAATCGGCGATGCTCAAACATCAATGCGAGTGACATGGCGCGGCCCCTTGCAAGCTCCTAAGCGCAAGAACCTGGCCAAAATACTCCTATTGCCCAAGCAGTCTCAGCAACCCGCCACAAGTCACTGTCCACATTCGAACCGCTTCGACCCCTTTTTATGTTGGAGCCCATCACTAGACTCTCCAGAAGATTGTTAATGGAGGGGTCCAAGGGTAAATCTCACGTTAATGCGGCCCGTGTTAATACCCCACACCAGCCATCGAGGACCCCATGTTCGCAGATGAGGTGGTACTCACCCAAGCTGCCGGCTCACCGAGTAATAAATAGCAAGGTTGTGTTAAGCCTCCATTTTGGGCAACTGGAGAAGTGATCTTCCCAATTAGGCGGCAAGGCGTGCCGCATTGGAGCCAGCTTCGCCAAAACGGAGCGAGTTCCTCCTGTGACGGTACGTCGCAGTTACCAGCAGTACATGTACAAGCAGTTGGGTTTGCGAATGTCCAGTTACAATCATAGGTCTCACTGTTTTGAACTAACCGTACTCTCACTGACAAAACACCTCGCTTTGTGGTTGGCGATAACCACTAACGCACGGCGGAACCGGGGACATCTAGTTCCTGGTAGCGGGGTGCCGTTGCTGACAGCGACCCATCACCAGGACTTCTGCTGTTCACCGGTCAATCCCCTCCAACAGGCTTTCTTGATCTTCTCTACAGAGTTCAATTGTACCACTCCGTCCCAACCTAAATAACTCCGAAGAAGCACGTGTCAATTGCGAACATATGGCAGGCGTTCGAGGGGGGCCCCACCTTTCCATATCTCCTCCCGCTTGGCAGAGCGAGCGCTTCTGGTGAGGCCCAATTGAGTATGGAGGATATGGAGCGTCTTGCCCAATCTTTCTTTCCAAGTTCATCAATCGAGGTGTACTCATTAGTCGGCGCATCCGTACTATGCGACCGCGTCCACTACTAACGCAACCCCACCGACCTCAGGCCAGATCGAATCGCTAACTACTGAAATGTACGGATGTATTGTACAAAACCTTAGGCCTACGGAACGTATTTTGCATGCAAGCAAGATATCCGCTTGGGTTCTCGGGAACCACTGCCGCTAGCGCGCATTCAAACCTCGTCATCACATGCATACATGTAGATGTGATGTCCAATCCCCTCACTCCGCCGAGCATCCCACCTACTCCACGCGATCGAGCCTCCTTTTTTCGAAGGTATGGCTGAGTCGAATACTTCTTGACCGGTATTATACTGCTTTGACCGGTGTTATACTGCTTTGACCGGTGAGATCCTCTCGGAGCGCCGCTGCGGCGCAGGCCGGCAGCTCGCGAAGATGGTCCGGTCTCCGGGGTGTGCCGCACAGACACGGTTCTCGGTTGTGTGTGGGGGGTTGCAGTTAACCCCACGAATTCCAGGGTGGAATTCTTGGAAAGGAGGCCCAATTCCGGATACCCTAGGCATAGTAACGTCTAGTCGACGGCGGTGAGACTGGCTTCTGGATCTCCTCGAAAAAGTTCCATGCAATGAAGCGGGCATGGCACGTGTTGTGATTGCGGGCTGAGGAGAGATGTGGTGGTTGTTCCGTGTAATCAGGTCCCAAACACACTGTCAAGGAACCACTCTATGTAGGAGTTCGGATAATAAGCCTCGGGATCTGAGACCCCCACCGAGAGTTTCTGTTCTGGTCCAAGAAATCACTCTAACTGTCGGGGATGCAAACGGCGCCGAAGCTCCGGGTCTCCGGCGCGACTTCCGGCCCGGAAGCCGGTCCGGCAGGATTCACTCTTGCCTCACGTCACAGACATCTCATGCCTCATTCCTCAAAGCCGCTTCTGGTGAGGAGGATTGAGTCTTTAAAGTAGTACGCAGATTACTGGCCTGTGCAACACCGTCCGCCGCCCGAAGAAGATTGGCCATGTTTTTAACAAATCCCACAATCCATGGTAATGCTTCCATGTTTGAGACTTTGAGTTGGGCACCCGCTTCTCTACAAGGAATTTGGACTCATATCATTTCGGTTGATGAAGTTTCAACAGAGCTCCCCACAATGCGGCTGCGCCAACTTGGTGTTGACTCAATGGGAACAGGTGGTGCTAGTGGGTACCGGTGCGCCGAAACTAGGTAGTCTACTGCGTTCAAGTCGAGGTAGAGAGTTTGGATCGAGCACGGCAAGCCTGAGAACATCCCGGAACATTCTCCTCCCTCCCTGGCAGCCAGACCTTCACCACTTGCACGCCTTTGGCAATAACTGCCAGTGAATATCGCCAGGCAGCTTGTTTCGCCTCACCACATGCTGCTCGATGGAGAAAGGTCATGGACATTCCAGCCTCAAAGCCATGTAAACGTGTATGCATATTGGGCAGATTGGACGGCTGGAGCTTGATACCGATCTTACCAGGAGAAAGGTCATTGTCCCAGAGACTTAACACCCCCAACGCAAATGTCGACCGTCGACAACGATAAGTTTATCCACCCCACTTTGCAGATGCACACTGATATGGGCGAGTTCGCGGAAACAACCGCTCGACATGGACCGGGTCATGATAGATCATCTCTGAGACACGTTTGCCTCCGGGCCAAGTCGCCTGTACGACCATTCCCATCTTCGGCCGCATGGCGCAAAGTTCATGTGACTACGGGGACAAGGTCGCCGATGAGGGTTTGCTGAATATCATGGGAACCTAACCTTATTCCAGCTTCGGTACGAAATACACTGTGTTCCAAGCAGATGAGCCGCCATTGATGGTTTCCAGCTTGCCCTGGTTGGTTCGTCTGCTTTGGATGGTGCTGTTGGCTTATCGTAGCCCTGGGCATCCTTTGACAGGTAGAAGCAACTTTCGGAACAGAAGATGATCAAGTTGAGGCTCCATCAGACTTGTGTCGAGCACCTTACCTGATCGTTGAGGCCCAAGGATGGAGTCGGGCCAATTGCACAATGGTGCGTCAGAAGCTCCTGTAAGTCGAGGTCTGGGCACATTTGGGAAACACACATGAATCGCTTACACCATGTATTCCTTCCTCCCTTGAAGCACTGTCAGGTTCGGACTATCGCCTACACTGCATGCCGAGCTTACTGGGAACAACCCAAGCCATCTCGGCCCGGTTGCTGTTGGCATTTGGAAAGTTGGGACGACCTGGTCGGATGCAACAGTCTATCCCTATGTGTTGGCTCTATTCCTATGGCTCTGGAGGGGATTGGAATGGTGCAGCTTCCGAAGGTGTAGACGACGGCATACGGTGGATGCAGCGCTGCCCGCCGTCAGTGAAGGGTACAGACGCAGCATCTCAAAGATACAAGCGCCGCAAACGGACCTAGACTCTCTTTCATAAGACGTTCTCTCGCGCTGCTCCGTTTTGGTGTAAGCCTCATCGTTTCCCACTTCCCCTTTCGTCTACATGCAGCACTGTGGGGGAATCCTTGGCTTGCAAACGAGACGAGAGCCGTACCCGGGCGTCTGGGCAACAACACCCCTCCTCATGACTAGCAGCAACGTGTCGATGCGAGAGATCTTGAAGAGACGCACTTGCATCAGATGGGGTTCGTGTCGCGCGTCGATTTGCGGGTGTACGGCAGAGAAACCTGTTTTTTTGGGTGGTATCCCGTACAGTACAGTCCAAACGTACACTGGCATGCGAAAGCAGCCCACCAACTCGATAATACTGACGATGGAGAGCGTCTGGCTGAAGGGACAAGGCCTTGCCGAGATGCTCAGTGCGTGATAAGCGAAACTATAGACCCTTAGGCCCAAAACATCAGGCGCGTCCATCACATGCGCGAAGATGCAGGGAGAGCTGTCCTATTAGCTGTTACTGACATACCCTGAACAATTTTGGGTTCAAAGTGTCCGTCGCGGCTGCGGAAGCTCGGCAAGGCGGGCAACGGGGCTAGCTGAGGAGCTGTTGGCAGCATGTTCCGGTTCGTGATCTGCCCGGATCTCGATTCCGGGAGCGCGCCGATTCGCAGGACGGAGGCCATGTCAAGCACCAAGGATGATGTTAAGCCTCTGCATCCCCGAAAAGTTTCGGGGGTGGCCACCGGCACTCCGGATTCTATATCTAGAAGGCGGACCAGACCCAAGCTTGACTCAGGCCTCTTGACTCGCTGCAGTGCACCGTTCCGGCAGCAACGACGGCTAGAGTCAGTGAACAGACAGCCCATGCCGAGTTGACAGCGGTAATGGTTCTATGAACCTTGGTTGACTGATGATGGCCGATGGTCGTTTGGGACAGTAGAAAGACGAGACCGCTTTCTCCCGTAATCGAGTTCGCTCGGCGGATAGACCAAGGGGTAGACTACGAGGTGACTGATCACTTCTCTCAGATTTGAGTTTATGACGGGACGTCGCTGTTGCCAGCGGCGAGGTCCCATGTACGCCAACCCTCGGGAAGCCCTAGTTTAATTGTCGAAGCTGGGCCACTTTCGGACGACCGAGATGGCAAATGCAGCAGTTCTAATCCGGCGGACTGGCAGTGAACCCCACGTATGGGCAGCCCGGTTGCTACTCGAGCATCCCGCACAGTAAATGTTGTCGGCCTGACGGAGGGCTGAGGAGGGGTTCAGTTAATTTAACGCGAGTACGGGAATCGCAGAACTCGAATGGAATCGATTGATGACGCCTCGCCCATTATCACACACCCACCTCTCCAAATGTGCAGCTTTTCTCAGGTAGGCATCATGAGACAAGAATGGAGGTTGGCGGCTCGGCCCGATGGTCCCAGAGTTTCGAGAGCTTCTGGGGCCGCATTTGGTGGGATTCAACCCCACCGGGCCGCGCACGAAGCTCCGCGCTCAGCGCGTCTTCTCGCGACTGGACACGAAAGCTCAATCTCCGTCTAGTCGTATCATTCTGATATCAGTCGTCCTGAATACTGTCGCTCTGGATGCGGTAGTAGATGAAGACGGCTTAAGATGGAAAGCTCCGGAAAGCTCAATGGCATGTGAACATGGCGCCGGTACAGACTGGGCCAGGCAAAGTTCATGAGCTGGCTGAAGCAGACAGCCGAGAAGCTGACGACGCGAAAGAATGAGCCTGAGACACAAGCAAGCAACGCTCCCGTTGTTGCACCGCAGCAGTCGCGCCGCGAAAAGAAAAAGGCCGCAATCGACCCGTGTGCGGGCGCAGCATCCGACAAGTTCGTCGATTGGACCCAGCTCGAGGTGTCTGCCCACCGCATCGCCGACAACGCGAACCCCGAAGACGTGCCCGATTCCGCCATCAACATCCTCCACGACGTCGTCAATCTGCGGAAGAAGAGTTTCCGTTTCTTTACCAGCGCCGCCAACCACTCCAAGGACGAGAAACTCGAGCAGAGCAATGCCAACCACGCCCAACCCGTCAACGTCCTCGAGCGGGTCCTGGCCAGACTGAAAATTCTCGTCAAGCGTGGGAAAACCAGGGAGCGCACGGATGAGCCAAAGGACGGGTCCCGCGTCACTACGGCCGACTTGAGAAATCTGTTCGCCTATCTCGAGGTTGAAACCGCCCCGGACGCCGCTGACGACACCCCCGACCGAGAACTCGAAACAGACCTCCCGCCGGACGACGACGCCAAGGCACACCAGAAAGCTGGGAGAAGGAAGGGAGGAAAGAAGACAGTCAAACCCAAGAAGCCCCAAAGACGAGCCGAAAGAGCAGTTGCCAAGACTAGCGGCGGCATACCTTGGATAGACAAGTTCCGCTTTGGGTTGCCCGGCGAGGATGATGACGAGGAGGACGAGCTCGATCTCTACATGATGGTCCATTGCTTCTTCGAGGACTTCAACACCATCCGGAACCATGTGGCTGAGCTCTGGCGCGATTATTGGTACGACCGGCCCGTGCCGCTGGTCACGCTAGCAGTCGTTACCAACGCCTTCAAGCTCTTCCACCAGCTCGGGTACGATATTGCCAAGGAGCTGAGGCCCAACAGCCCGAGCTTGGCACGGTACGACTTCATGATGAGCGTGCTCTTTTACCACTATGGCATCGATCATATCGACTACGACTCCTACGACCAATCTGACAAAAAAGAGGCAGATGAGCGGATCTGGGAGGACGAGGCCGATTGGCTGGCCCTCCCGTCTTACTTTGAACTGGAGCATGTGCTGATGATGATCATCCAGGGAAAGACGCCCATGCTCGCCCCGTCCCAGCGCAAGCCTACTACTGTCTATGGCGCCAACACACCGGAAGACTAGAAGACGTTCCAGTCCAGTGCAACCAACCAGATTGTCCTCGAAAGTGCTCACCTGAAGGTCTTGAGGCACAACCGGCAGGAGTCGCCCGTGTTGCCCTCCGAATGCCACCTCTTGTCGGATTTTCAGGCGTTCCTAAGGAGGAAGGATCATGACTCGGCCCTAATCTTTTCTCTCCACCTCTGGGTGGTCATCCGCAATATCATGGAAACCGACCATGACCAGCCATTCACGACCTGCAGGCCACTGCCGGCAAGCTCAAACAAGCCTTGGAGAACCACAATCGCAGCAAATATTGCAAGGATTACGACTTCAAGCGAATCTGGCTCGGCCGCCTCTGGGAGGCCAAGCACTTCATGGCTGAAAACTTCATGTGGGAGGATAAGAAAGCTCGCTTCCGCCAGGTCGGCATTCAGGAGGACCCGGCGCCATCTTTCTGCTCAAGCACGAGCCTGTCTGCGCCGGGCTGCTCGACCTCCGCGCACGTCTCGTCTACAGCGAACTGTGACTGGAGTTCGTTGCGCTCAGTTCCATCGTTGACGCAGCAGCACACCTGTATCGCGAAGCCCTCGCGGTGGGTCCGAGCCTCCCATGATGGGTTGAAATTGACAGGTATGTCGATACATGCGCCGAAGACTGCCGGTTCAGGCGCGGGTTGCAGCCCTCGCAGGGATCAGTTGCCATCATCCACAATTTTGCCGCCTCAACCGGCGATGAGACTGTCAAAGAAAAGAGGGCAGAGGGGATGGACAGCGATAAGAAGTCCATCCCAAAGATTGCCGTGCGGGGACTCTTTACCGGCGATACGCGTTTGACGACAAACCCGTCACCATCGTAAGTACCTCGAACAGCTCAGGGCACAACTCTCGCAGATCAAACACAGCGAGCGAGGGGTTGACAGACTACGTGCCCTCATGGATCCCTCCGAGAGTGACGCTCAAGACGGTCACGGTAATGGTGATGTGACTCTTGTCAAGCGTGAGAATGGCTTGACGAAAACCAGGAAGACTGAATTGGAGAAGGAGCGCAAGGCAAAGCTCTCCCAGTTCTCGCCCATCGACATGCTCCAGATGCTGGACAAGACGGTCACGTCTCAGCTCGAGGGGATCCTCACGCTCGACTAGTTTCGACTGTTTGACGAGTCAGCCTTCCTGCTTGCATTGGTTGTCGGGGCCTTCGGTGACAGGATGTGGGATCGCCTTGGTCCCCCCCCATGTTGCTTACAGTTCCTCGATTGCTTACCCAGTGTCCTGGGTCAGGACTTGGCCTCCTCGGGTCTCGGGAAAGCAGACCGAGATCATCCAGGAAGTTGTCGAGGGCTGCAGGAGCTTCAGCCAAAGAAGGGAAGGGTCCGTTCCGTCCCTTGACTCACACAATGCGGCTCCGTGCTCGATGCAACCTGATCCCACCGGCGTGTTGTAGCATCGGGCCGGACTTGATGCGATATCCATACCCGCAGAGGTGGCTGGCGAGTCGGCCACCCGGTTCGGGGATTGTAAATATCCCTCCTTTCCTATGTAATGTTCCTGATTGGCTCGTTTGGGGCACGGCCGGCGTGACTCAATCTGCAACTGTGAATGACTGCAGACTCAGTTGCTGTAAGAGGAATGGAGGCCAAGATGTCGTGCATCTGCTTCGGCGGGGCATGGAAACTTCAAGACTTCCACGTTGATCGTCATTGGATATATCAGCGTCTACGGAATCCGAGGCATTTGTACCAGCAAACAACTCGCTTCATCCCTCGCGTCCCAGCATCTTGTCAATCTCTGAAGCTTCTCTTCGTTATACCGCGATCGTCCATTCGAAGCCACGTACCGGGACAACCAACCGCAAGGAGCTACCCCTCGCCATGGCGGAGAAGCTGAACAGCATCCTCAACAACTACGTCGCCGAAGGCACCGCAACCAAGGACAAGCTGCCTGGCGCGGCCTTTGTTGTCGTCAACAAAGATGGTGCGTCCTCAACCCCTCGAACCCCCCCGGAGCACCCAACCAAGCAACCCCCTTTACTAACTCCGCGGCCTCAGGACCCATCTACCGGGGCAGCGCAGGCCGCACCCGCCTCTCATCCGACTCCCCTCACTTCACACCCTCCTCCATCACCTGGATCGCCTCCATGACCAAGCTCCTCACAGCAACCACCATCATGCACCTCGTCGAGCACCGCCCGGACCTCGTAACCCTCGACACCGACCTCCGCCCTCTCGTCCCCGAACTCGCCAACCTGCAAATCATCACGGGCTTCAAGGCCCCTGAATCCGATGGCGGGGAGGGTGAACCCATCCTAGTCCCCAATACCCGCCCCATCACTCTCCGCCACTTGCTCACCCACACCTCGGGTTTCGGCGTCGATATTGCCGACCCGGACCTGATCCGCTGGTCGAAGTATGTCGGGCGCAAGGCAGACCAGAACAGCTTAAGCTGTACCCTCGAAGGGTGGACAACGCCGCTCAAGTTTGCGCCCGGGGACGGGTGGTATTATGGGTCTGGTCCGGACTGGGCCGGGCTGGTGCTCGAGAGGTTGACGGGGAAGAGGCTCGGGGAGTATATGGAGGAGTTTTTGTTTAGGCCGTTGGGGGTCAGGGATACGGGGTTCTTTGTGAATAGGCTGCTTCCGGAGGGTGGTAAGGATAGGGAGGAGAGGTATGTGCCTGTTGCGGAGAGGGATGCCGAGTCCGGGGAGTGGAGGGAGGGGACAGTGCCGTTCCCCGCGGAGCCGCCTTGTGAGAGTGGTGGTGGGGGGCTGTACTCGAGTGCGGTGGACTATGGGAAGGTTATGCAGATGCTGTTGGGTGCGTTAGCCGGGGAGGAGAGTGGCGTGGTGGGGGGTGAACTGGTGAGGGAGATGTTTAGCCCACAGTTGGTGGAGAAGCAAAGGGATTGGTTAAGGGCGATTATCTGGGCGTATGGGTCGGGCGCCGAGTTGCCGCAGGGCTCGCCGGTCGATTTTGGCATCGGGGGCCTCTTGAACACAGCCGATGTGGAAGGAAAGCGGAGGAAGGGCAGCGTGATGTGGTCAGGGGCTGGCAATGCGCGATGGGTGAGCCGCTGTGCTGTGGTGCTTTGATAGTGAGCGGTTGCTGACGTGTGTTTAGTGGATCGATCCTGAGACAGGCATTGGCGCAGCCCTGTTTGTCAATGCTGCCCCGTATGGCGACCCGACTGTGCTTAAGATGTACGACGAGCTGGAGAGGACAGTATATGGGGAGCTTCTCCCGGCGTGGCAGGCATCCAAGTAGGGGTGGAAAGGGATGGGGTCGGTCGAAGCGCTCTACATGAAACATTGACCGTGAATCTAGTAAACTCAGGGATAGACAGGAAATCGCCGTCCAGACTCCAAACACGCATGTGTCCGCTCAAAAGTCAACATGCTTGTCACTCCGACCCGTAACGCTCGACCACCGCCTTCTGTCCCCAACCTCTTTCTCGTCTGCTTCCCTCCATGGTTTACTGTACCGGTTAAAGTAACCCCAGCCCTGGTCATTCGTCCTCGTCTCGGTCCCTCGCAACACGAGCCTGTACTCAGTAATGGGCATGTCAGGCGCCGGCTTCATCCGCAGCCTCAAGCTCCTGATGCCCGCCCAGCGGAAACACCCCCTCCCCTTTTCGAATGCTTCAAACGCAGTCGGCGAGTCCGTCAGCTCACCTCCAGGCACCTCCGTCAACACCACCACCCGCCAATCCCGCCGCCTAAACGCATTGCTGCTGCTCTGCATGCGGTCACTCAACAGCTCATAAATCTCATCCTGTACCTTCCAGTCCAGCTTCCGGACCCGCTTCTCCAGATCCGCAGCATACAGCGTATTCACCCACCCGCCGCCGCCAACACCACCACCACTCCTGCTCCCGCCATCAGCTTTGTTATTACCACCCTCAGTCCGCGGCTTGCAAAACCTCCTCGCCTTTCCCTCCGCTCTTCCCAGCCCCATCACCCCGCGTCCCGGCTCCTGCACATGCGCGACGACGGCCGCCTTGTGCATGGCCACCGTCGCGGCGAGCTCGTCCTGCGAGAAGTGCGTGTTGGGCACGACGGACAGGATGGAGCCCTCCTCGCGGTCGAAGTGGCGGAAGAGGGTGATGCCGAGGGCACGGAGGTGCAGCTGGGTGCGCGGCGTCGGGTGGTGGTAGGTTATTGTCCAGGACTCGAGCACGGTTTTTTGGGCTGGGGGGAGTTGCCTATCTCGGGGTTAATACTTTCCATAAAACTTGGATTGGAAGAAGGTAAACAGGGAGGGAGGAGGACGTACAAGGGCTGTGGCTGACAGACGAGGTCGTATCGCCGGGGGGATAGCGGCAGGGTGGTGTAGGCCGTCGTGTGGGCATTGCTGCTGACCGAGGGGAACCGGGATGGGAGGAAGACCCGGCGGTGGTGGATTGAGTTATGGATGCGGGCGCTGTGAGAGTGTGAGGGCCGGTAATAGTCCTCCTCGTCGAGTGTTGCGCTGGATTCGCCTGTCGAGCTGAGGATTTCGTCCAGTTCTGGGAGGAGCTGCGCCTTTTCCTCCAGTTCCAGAGCGAAGTGTGGAATCAAGGGAAGACTTGGTGGCCGGGTGTTTGGCGCCATCGTGTTTGCCCGTTAATATGTCAAAGCGCCTGAAGTCTTCAGTCAAGCTAATTTGGCTATTCCATCAGACTGGGGATGCGTCAAGGGTGGTGGTGATGGATCGGTTAACAATAAGGGATTCGTCGGCCTAGACATGCTGTCCCATTTAGATGTGCAGGCCTTTCGGCCTGTTGCTTCCATCATTATTATATTGTTCAGATGCTCAGCCGTTATCGCATCTCTGACGGCGCAGCTCGCAATCGGCCCCGGCTCCGGTTGGTACCAGAGTGGTGGTGGTGAGACGTCTCGTTGGAGGACAAAGACGTAGTTGGTGGTATTACTATTTCTGGGATTGATTTTGGCTCACTCTTCCCACATTGCGGCACTGAATCGGGACCCTATATGAGGTCGTGTGGGCTGTAACATGTTTTACGTTCTGCCTGGAGCCCCCTGCATGCTCCTCGATGGATCCTAGCGGCCGTTGTGCCGCCAACCCGCAACCGCGGCGCAGCATAGGCACAGCACCAGGCACAAGCATGCCATCATGTAGATTAGATTTTAGGAGTCCATTATCACGGATTGAGAGTCAGATTTCTGATAGAGAAACTGAGCGGATGCGAAAGTCCAAAAGTCAGCTATCACCAAGGCTGCTTGCTACCATGATTATTGGTCGAGATTTTCGACTTAGATCAGCAGTCATCCTTGGCTCAAACTGTACCTCCTTCTCTGATCCCGAATGTCGCCATACACATGACTGCGACCAGACCCTGAACTCACACACAAAGCGGGAATGCTGTGATGAAGCCGGCTGACACCACTTTCAACCGCAACATTTAGAACAATGAACCGGCTCTTTGTGTCCAAGCTACACTTTGGTCTTACAGAAGGACCGGAGATCCAAACGGCGAGTTCGCAGGAAGTGCCTAATACAGCAGGGCAAGCAGCATCTCTGAGTTTGAGCAGTAAGAACGGTAAGATTAACATTACTAGAGAGAACAGTAAACAAAAGCGGGAAAACCCCACAAGAAGTAGGGAACGCAAAGGCTTATTCCTTCATCCATTTGCTGCTCTCCCTCAGCCATGCCTCGAGGTCCTGCATCGAAGGAACCTCCCTCTTGCAGGCCGCTATATCAGCTCCGTATCCCTCGTTCTCAAACCAAGCAAACATGTCCCCGAGCTCCTTCATCCCCCACATCGCAGCCCTGCCGACAATGGTCCAAGCCTGCGGCAGCGGCTTTCCTACGACCCTCTCAAACTTCTCCCTCGCCTCCGCGAGCGTGAGCTCGTCACCGGCCAGCGCGAACGCCCTGCCCGACCACTTGGCGGGTTCACTCAGCGCCTTGGCGGCGAAGATGCCGATGTCTCTCACGCCGACAAGCTGCAGCTTGGTGTTCGGGCTCAGCGCGGCCGCCCACATGGCGGTGAAGACGGAGCCGAGCATGCCCGGGTTCATGTTGTCGAAGAAGCCGACGGGGCGCAGGATGGTCCAGGTGAACTGCCCGGGTTCCTTGTCGGCCTTGTTGCGCAAGTGGAGCTCGATGTTGTGCTTGGAGCGGAAGTGCCGGATGTCGGTCGGGTTGGTCCAGCTCTTGTCGCCGCCGCGGTCGACTGAGGTGAAGACGATGTGCTTGACGCCGTGCTCGACGGCCGCGTCAATGAGCGGGATGGCTTGCTCTTCCTCATTGATCTTGCCCAGCGTGGTGACGACGAAGAGACTGGCGATGGAGCCTTTGGGCTGGGAGGCGAAGATGGGCTGCGGGTTGGTGTTGTCTCCTTCGACCAGCTCGACAACGCCCTGGTGGGCCGAGGCCAGAGCTTTGGCGCGGTCAGATTGCGCATTGCGGGTCAAGGCGAGAATGTGGAAGCGCGATGAGGCTTCAGGGAGGTCGAGGAGAGCATTGATGACGGCGCCGCCTTGCTGGCCGGTTGCGCCGACGACGAGAATGTTTTGGGGAGCCATGGGGACGGTTGTGCGTGTGTGAGTGAGTGAGGATGTTGTGTTGGATGTGTGTTTGATTGATGCCGAGTTGAGTGCCTAAAACGAACAGCTGAAGCCTGGAAACAGCCTTCACTAAGTACTCACCGACCCGACTTACAGAATCCATTTTTGATGACGACAGAAGCGGATTCAAGGCATGCGATCCCTGGATGGTTTCCAATGCAATCGACCAGCCGAGAACAAGCTACATGGGACGATACAAACTTGACGCATGCGATTTCCAACCATCGCTCGCAGGAGAAACATGCTTTAGTCAATTGCAGGGAGGACTTTGTCATCATCTGCCGCCTGTTTATGGAGCAAGACACAAAGAAGATGACAAACTCGGAGTCCGGAGCGGAGAACTGCCTAGCCCTGGTTCTTGGCCCTGCTCTTTTTGGGGGGGGAACGAGGGGGCTGCCGGTACTCTGTAAGGTGGGTCATGATCCTCCCATCAGTATTCGGCAAGTGGTCTGTGCGGAGAGCAGAGCCCCACCAACCCTCGTTGTCTTCGTGGCCCTGTTCTGGCCTGCCGCTTCGTCGTCGCAGCTGTGATCCACAAGGCAGAAAGTAGACACCTCAACACATTCCCAAGCCTTGAAGTATTCGATATCTCACCAGATCTGTAGCAGCTGTCGCAACAAACAAAAGTAAAGAAAGGGAAAGAAGAAAGCGCCAAAATGAACCGCCTCTTCGGCAGCAGCGCCCCCAAAGCGCCCAAACCAACCCTCAACTCAGCCATCTCCAACATCGAGGCGCACATCTCCTCCATCGACGTCAAGTTGGCCTCCATCAACGCCGAGCTGCAAGGCTACCAATCCAAGCTCTCCAAGATGCGCGAGGGGCCCGGGAAGTCCGCGCTCAAGCAAAAAGCCGCCAAGGTCCTGCGCGAGCGCAAGCGGTACGAGGCGCAGCGCGACCAGCTGCAGTCGCAGGTGTGGAACATGGAGCAGGCGCAGGCGATGCAGGACAACCTCAAGAACACCATGGTAACCATTGACGCGCTCAAGAGCACCAACAAGGCGCTGCGCAAGGAGTACGGCAAGGTCGACATAGACAAGATCGAGCGCATGCAGGACGAGATGGCCGACTTGCTGGATATAGGGAACGAGATCCAGGAGAGCCTTGCTCGGAGCTATGATATACCCGAGGATGTGGACGAGGCCGAGCTCGATGCTGAGTTGGAGGCGCTCGGGGAGGAGGTTGAGCTGGAGAGGGAGATGGCGGGCGGCACGATGGAGGGGGGGTTGCCAAGTTTTCTGCAGGATGAGGTGCCTGAGTTTATTGACGAGCCACCATCGGTGGCTGGGAAGGTGAAGGAGGCTGCTGGCTAAGGGAAAAGCTGATCAGGAGGCGGAAACGAGCACGGTTCAACTGTGTGGAAGTGTTGGGAGTTTGTTGGTTGGTTAGCGGCAGCGTATTCGGCGAGAGCAATCTGATCTTGCAACGGTACTTCATGGTGATTGCGCTTCTAGCATTGTCATTACAGTTAAATGTACAGTTTCGCTGACCCCCTGACGCTATGTACGGCGCGTCTCCATCCCATCGTCAATTATCAAAAACCCTTCATGCCTGAGACCCGAGAATCCAAGAATCATGCATCCTAACCATCTCCCTTCGTTCCAACGCCTTCCAACCCGTTAATCCACGGACCCAAAAAACCGACTGGCCTCCTCCAGCTCCGGGTCTCCGTTGCAAAAGTCCCACCCGACAATCACACTCCTCTGACTACAGCAGATGATGCGTCGCGCGTCATATTGCAGCTTGAACACCCGGGCAGGGTTAGCTGGGTCAACGACCTCGAATTGTGCAGGCGCCTGGGCAATGTGCGGTTGCTGCTGCGCCTGCGCTTGCGCTTGCGGCTGACCTAAGGGCGAAGGCGGGGGCGGGACAGGAGGAGGGTTCAGACCATGGTCAGCCCCGGACCCGGCAACGGCGGGCCCAGCAACGGAAGCAGGAACAGTAAAACCACCAGCAGCAGAAGCAGCAGCAGCGGGAACAACAGCAGGAACAGGATGGGGTACCTGATGCATGGATGCCCCTTGGGGAGGGGCTTGCGCGTGTGCCTGGTTTGCAGAGGCGGCTGCCAGCTGGGCCGGGGTCGGTTGGCTGCCAGCAATCCCCTCCATCGAAGCCTGGCCGGCGGTCGAAGACCCCGATGCCGCATCCTCTTGATTTCGTAGCGCCTCGCGTCTTTGCCGTGCTTGCTCGAACTGCGCCCTCATAAGGGCGCTCGAGTACGTCTGCCGAAGCTGGCTTCTGAGAACCGGGTTCTGCTGCCGGTCGATGCAGGCCTCCACGTAGCTCCGATGGCTGAGGATTTGGGGGTAAGCTGCGAGGGCTTGCGCTAGGGCATGCTGACCGCCCTGCACAACGCTGTCGATTACCTGGCAGAGCTGCTGGGGCATTCCCGGCGCAGCGTCCGCCTGGCCCAAATCCGTGGTAAGCGTGCTAAGTGGCGGCAGCGTCTGCCCAATTGCTGAGGGACCTGGGGAAGCACTAGCCGTTCCTAAACGCGATGCTGTGGCTGGCGCGGTCGTCGGGGTTCCTGCGGCGACAGGCGCTGTAGCAAAAGGCCCGCTTGCCGCCGTTCTCATCGCTCTGAGGGCTTCGCGACTGACAAGATTCTGCACCGAGGGATGCAGGGGCACAGACGACTGCGCGCGATCATGCTGTAGGGCGGCAACGGCGGCCGTCTCCTGCTTGAAGTGATGTTGGTCTTTCCAGACGCCTTCCTTGTCTCTCCGCCATATGATGATGCTGGCGTCATAGCTCCCGCTGACAATCCGCCCGTACTTGCCGCCTCCTCCTCCGGGGGGGAGCTTGGCTCCGTACGCACAGATATCCTCTGGTCGCCTAGACCCAGCATTCGCGGGACGCCTTCCCGACCTCGGCCTCTCCCGCTCGTCGATCAAGCCCATCTCAACCGCCTTGAAGTACTCTTGATCCACTTTCTTGGCCTCGGCAGCGTCATCTTCGACGCTGTAGGGGAGATCCCCGAAGCCGGCCTGCACGGTGCGTACCAGGCTGGAATGGGCACGGAGAGTGGCAACCTCCAGCCCGGTCTGGCGGTCAAACACCTTGATTTCGTTATCACTACTGCCACTGACAATGCGACGACCGTCATACTGCACGCAGGCAATGCCCTTGTGATGACCGACAATCGTCCGCGTGCACACCTGGGTTGGCCAGTCCCAGACCTTGATATAGCGATCTCCGCTAGCCGACACCACCTCGCGGTCGTGGATCTGCACAGCATTGACGGCGGCACCGTGGCCCTCCAGGCACCCGATCATGGTCCACGCCGGGACCACCGGAAAATCGTCAGGCGTCATGGGCAGGTTGTAGCCGTAGTCCTTCACATTTCTCGGTACCGGATCCACTTCTTGATATCCCAGGTCGCCGTGGCGAAGCGGCTTGCGGTTGAAAACCTTGATCGTCTTGTCTTTGGAGCAGGTCACCAGGATGCGCTGATCGAACCTCACATTAAGCACCGATTCCCGGTGCGCGTTCTTGAGAATCTGGATCGGCTCTCCAGTTGAAAACCTCCAGATGATGACATCCGAGTCCGAGCTGCCTGAGACGATCAAATCCTCTTCCGGGCTGGAATCGAACTGCAAGCAGAGAACGGACCCTCGGTGTTTGGCCAGAGTGCGAAGACACCGCCGCGACTTCATATCCCACACCTTCAGCGTCCGATCTCGGCTCCCACTAACGAGGTACTGTGAATTGTGTTGGAGGCTGTAGACGCACTCCCCGTGACCTTCCTCCGGGTAGGCGGGATGCGGAAACTGGAAATTGACATACTTCCCACGCTCCCAGTTTGATTCAAGCCGCCGCCTCATGGTGTAGAGATACTTCCAGTTGATTCTGTATTGAGTGGACGATCCATCCCAAGTCCACAACGTCGACTTAGGCAGACGTGGTGTGTCCATCACTGTTTCCAAGAACGAGGGCTTGGTAGGTGTGGGCCCCCTTAGCCCCGGGGACAAAGCTCTCCCTTTCCCCTTGTTCATTGCTTTGCCCATAGAAGTGGACCTTGTCATTGGGTTCGGGGTGTCGAGATCGACCATTTGCTGGGGCATACCACTCTTCGGAGCAGGGTTGCGTGGCCCGCCGAAGATGCTGATCTGCTCCAACGTCATGTTCGTCGGTTCCTGTCCGACACCGGTCCCTGCATCGACCATCACCGTGTCTGTATCGGCGCCTAGCGTTGGTGATAGCGACAGCGCGCGCTTTTTGTGCGCATGACCCTTGTCTCCGAATTGCGGCCGTTGCAGCGCACCATGCGCAGAGGAGGACGGTTTGTTGATCTCCCGCTCCGCCGCGACGATCTCGGCAGGCAATGCTTTCCATCCTTCGAGATAATACAGCTGCTCCCACAGCTTCCGGTCCAAAGCGAGATCGTACCATGCCCGACAGCATCGTGCGACGTTGATGAGCGAGACGGGGTCAAGGTACTCTAGAACTTTGAGGCACACTTCGGGAGGTAGGTAACGCACGAAATCGATGTATAGGCGGGGGTGGAGGTTCCCGACGATTTGGGAAATGACGCTTGTGGGGAGATCGTGGAGAAGGGCCATGGCAAGCTCTGTTCATGCCAACGGTCAGAGTTCCCTTATTAGCACAGTCTTGCGTACGCGAAGGGCGTCAAAAACCTACCGGTCTTGCGAGTGATGGAAAGTCCAGATAGGTGCTGTATCAACCATGGGGGAAACTCATCGCGTGACCGGCTTGAACCCAATGCCGTGAGGGCGTCCTCGCGCGACTTGAGCGAGAAAGGTACCGGGGCGGAGAAAGCGGTCAAGGGATGTTCAGAGTAACCCTCGTCGGGCTGAGGAGTGAAACCAGCCATCGCTTGTCGGGTGCCGCGAATCTGTGCTCAGAAATCGACGTGCATTGACTCCGGCGCACTCGGAAACGAGAAAGGCGGTGTCGGGGATGGGCCGTAGAAGCAGGTGGTGACTCGCGAAGAGCAAGGACGATTCATTCGAGAAGGTGAAGTAGGGGCGATTGATGTTGGATGTTGTCGCTGGCGCCGTGTCACAATGCGACACCGGGATAGGTGATGGTATTGTCGTGACAACAGTGCCGCGTCCGCCAGTCAATTGTGGTGACGCCGAGATTTTGTGCCTTGGTGGCCAGCAACCTGGCTGCGGCACAATCTGGGACGGCGAGATGGATTATTGGGATTGATGAGGTTGGAATCGATTGCTGCTAGGAATCTCAGCGCCTTGCTCACCGTGAACTTTCGAACAGCGGCTGACAAACTTCCACGAAGGGTGTGGAAGTTGGAACTCTCAGGCATGATTGGGCTGGGTTGGCGGGGCGAGGCGGGTAGGTGGGCGAAGTGGGCCCAGCCGAGTTACTGTGGGAATACATTCCGCCGCCCGGACTGAGACTCCAGACTAAGGTACAGGTACTGTACCTAGCTTACCTCCGTACTCGTCGGGACTTTGAATCGCCAACCCGATACCTGAAGGTAACCGCCAAAAGGGGCCCGGGCCAGGAGCTGCTGCTGGTTGACAGCCAAGATCAAAGTCATCTGCCGCCCTCAGAAAGGAGGAATCCACCCCAAAATGAGTCTGTGATGAGCTTCTGAACGGTGACCCAAGGACGGTGACCAAACGGGTTAGCTCTCTCCAGGCATGGAACCAGCTGCCCGGTGGCCATGGCAATCTTATGCTTGATTGTCCTGGAGGGGCAGCCAGAGATGCGGCCGACCCATTGTTCCACACCCCTCATCAGGTTGACAACGAGCTTCTGAAAAGCAGCTCCAAGGCCTCACTCACCACGACTTCATCAGGGCAGGGATCAATTGTTCAATTGAATACGGGATGGGTGGACTCCTCAACTCCGGGTCACAGCTTCAAAATGGGCTGCGGTGCATCCGATATCCCGGGTTTGGGTGTCCCTTTCGTCTGCACACTTAAGTCGCGTACATAACAAGTACCTCACCCGGCAGCATGAATGTCGAGTTCTCAACACATCCCACTTCCGTCTTGCATTTGCTTCTTTGAACTCGGCATCTCGGATGTATTCCAGGTTGTTTCCAACCGTAAGTAGTCGGTGAGCCGATTTGCTCTTCAACCTGTCCGAGGGACAGAGATTGCAGATTGTCATACAACGGCCCGGAAGAAACTGCACAGCCTGTACAGACAGGCCGAATGATCGAGAACTTTCAATCACTGTGTTACGTTCCAGAAGACAACGGGACAGCCGAAGAGGGACGGAAGGCGAGGTGAGTATGAATGTGATATGCATCTTGAAACATTACCACTGGACGCCCTGAGAACAGCCGGTACCTCCGTACCTGTAACAATATCTTAAACACAATTCGCCGGCTGCTGCTTTCCCCCCTGGTGTGTGCAGTAGATGGGCCCCCGAGTCCCGCTCACCGCGAACCCACATCAGCCCAGGCGCCTCCCAAAGTCAGAACGAGCTGCGCACCTTCTGCCGCCAACCAACCAGCTCCGAGAGCGGTCACTTGCCACGACCCTCCGTTTCAGACCACATCTCAGCACCTTGACCCGAGTTCGAGTCAGGCGGGAACATTCAGCACTCGAGACCGCCCATCCTTAGCAAGTTTGCGCAAGTCGAAACCGTGCAACAGCGACGAAGGCACCAGCCACAAACATCGACGAGTCAAAGCCGCCGAGCGACCACTTTCAGCCACAGCCTACAAGGGGAGGGAAGGTCGCACGCAACGAAGAACCGAACCGCCAGGAACCAGAGAAGTCAATCGCTGCGCTGCAAGCAAAGATTACAATTTCGACAGCCATCGATAACCAGAATCACGGCGGAACGCGGCTGCTCCGTGCACCAGCTCGGCGTCAACGAGTGAGCGTCAGCCACCGAGCGCTTGCCCTCGGACCTGTGGACTCCGATAAGCCCTCAGGCCTGCAGGTAGAGAAAGGCGCCTCCGCGTCCCTCGTGTGCTCGATTTCGTCAACTCTCGGTCGCCAGAATCAAATCAGCGACCTGGTTGTACTACAACACGACACATTGTTCCGTTCTTTACAGCGCTTGATTGAGGCGCATTCTCTATATCACCAGCGATCAGTCGACGGTTCCATCACCCCTCCCGTCTCGTCGACCTCCCCACCGTCGTTGTGCGAATGGGGAGTGCGTTATGGCCCATGCTCCCCTCCTTCGCATGAATACGGGCCCACCTATGGATCTCATTGATAGATTGAACGGGATGAGCACCGCCAGCACGTCGCGCGCGAGCCAGCTGTCTGGCTCGTCGACTTTTCCCGTCACTAACTCCTCCACATCGGTGAACTCGCTATCCACCGCCTCAACCATTGCCGTGCCGCCAAATGGCCAAGTCGTGGCTACCAGCAATATCATCAACCAGCGGGCCGATGCGTCCCGGTCGTTATACCAAATATGCGTCTCCCTCAAGCAGAGGTTGGCGAAGGTGCCTGGCTTCGAAGGATACATGGAGCAGCTTGAGCATATGGCGGCCGACCCGGACGAGGGTGGCCCAGTCGAATCGCTATGGAAACTCCTGCGTACCGGATACCCACTCCTCGCCATTTACAATGTACTGCAGCCGGATACGCCTCTGCAGGTCCAGGAACCCCCAGGCGCGTCCGAAGCGAAGCGGTCCAAAATCGCCATCCTCAGGTTCGTCGAGGCCTGCAAGTCCAAGCTGATGCTTCCGACCTCCGACGTCTTCATCATTACCGACTTGACAGGCAACGACACAACGGGCTTTGTCAAGGTGAGTAGTCCGGTGCTCGCAATGCGGGTTAGCCAGCGGTCTGACTTCCAGTTTAGGTTACCTCGGTTATCAACCATGTTCTCGATCTTGCCGAACAACGCGGCCTGCTGCTCCAGATCCAGCCATATCCGGAGGACGATGCGATGCAGCCCGGCTCGCAAATGAGCTATCGTGACTACATCGTGCGTGAGCTCGTCGACACAGAGCGGAAATACGTCCAGGATCTCGAGAATTTGCATGATTTGAAGAAGACGTTGGAACAAAATGGCATCATCCCAGGCGACGTCGTCCACAACATCTTCCTCAACATCAACGCCATCCTGGATTGCCAGCGCAAGTTCCTGATCCGGGTGGAGACAACAAACTCGATGCCACCATCAAGACAGGAGTGGGGTAGTCCGTTCGTAGCATACGAAGAGACATTTAATATGTGTTATCAGCCCTTCATTGCGAACCAGCGGAAGGCCGGCCAACTCGCCAGCAAGGTGTTTGACAAGATTCAAACCGCCGGGCACCCGGTTGCCTGCGATATCAACACGCTTGACGGCTTTCTTCTGAAACCCATGCAGCGCCTTGTCAAGTATCCGCTCCTTCTCAAGGTATGTTCACCCAGATATCCGCCATGATTCGAGCTGCGTGGCTAACCTCTCATAGGATCTTCTGAAAAAGAGTGAAGACGAAGTGACCAAGGCAGATCTTAGTGCAGGCATTGAAGCCGCCGAGCGAGTGCTGCAAAAGGCTAACGAGGCTGTGGACCGTGACCTCTTGGATGAGGCAGTTGAGGACTTGATCTCCCGCGTCGAAGACTGGAAGAATCACCGCGTAGACCAATTTGGGAAGTTGCTCATGCATGGTGTTTACACTGTCATCACGGGCAACGGTGACCAGGAGAAAGATGTAAGCTGTCTGCCGCGTTCACGTCGACCGCCATGCACTGACTTTAGTCTCATAGTATGAGATCTACCTCTTCCAGTGCATACTGTTGTGCTGCAAGGAGGTAGTGCCTGGGAAGAGCAAAGACAAGAAAGACAAGACACGGTCGACGGGACCAAAAGTGCGCAACAAGAATGCAAAGCTTCAGCTTAAGGGCCGGATTTTCATGACCAACGTCACGGATGTCGTGGCTATGTCCAGGACAGGTAATCCACCACGGTGCTCTCTCCCTTGCAGCGACAGCGGCTGACTTGGTAGGCTCGTACACGGTTCAAATCTGGTGGAAGGGCGATCCCGGCGTGGAGAACTTCATGATCAAGTTCCAGAACGAGGAGACCATGAAGAAATGGGCGGTTGGGCTTGATCAGCAGCGCAAGGCCAACGCGCCCCAACCCCAACAGAGCCTGGATGAAGCACCGCCGACTTTTGCTTGGATCAGCAACGTCGTTGGCGACCTGCAGAACCCCTATAAGGACCCTGAGGACGAGGATGATGACGAGGCCAATGGAAGCCCCTCAGAGACACCTCCGGCTACCTCTCATCATAACGCTCCAGTCGCCATGCCAGGCACAATGCCGCGCAATGCCTCCAGCAGCAGCCTAGGCCGCCAACGCTCGGCAACAAATGAGAGCACTCATTCTCTCGCGGGTTTTGCTCGGGCACCGCCTCCGCGCGGATTCCCAATGGCTCCGCCCGCAAACTTGAGCCTGCATACACAAGTTCCCGGCCAAGTATCGCCTTTACCCCGCGGTGGGGAGTCATATTTCTCTCCCGTTACCGATTCTCCGGCGTCTACCCGGACTAGCACGACCAGCGGGATTTACAGTGCAACAGGGTACCCGTTTCCCAAAACTGGCACACCTATCAACCCGGAGGATAGCAACCGGTACACCGCTCCAGCCACGTCCAGGGCTCCCTCTCGAGACGGGTCCTCCCCCGCGAATGCGTTTGGCACAAACGGGCGCAACCCTCGAGGGCCTTCGATGCCTGTAATGCCCCGCGATTCGGTGCAGTCGGCCCAGCAACAGTCACGCAGCCGGAGCTACAGCACGCCGGACATCAATGGGCAACCCGCCCGCAACGGACAGTCGATACCCGCCGTTCCCGGGATCCCGGCCCACCTCCATCAGCACCACCCGGCCCATCCAACCCATGTACGACATGATTCCAACATCCCGCGTAGCAATACCGGCAGCCCCGCCAATGAGCTCCCCTTGCGGACCAACACGAACTCCCCCGGGACGCAACGTGCAAAGCAGTACGGGGGCACCATGGCACAGTTTCCTACCCAGCCGATGTACTCCCGTCAAGGAACACCCAGTAGTGTGACCAATTTGCCCCCGCCTGGTCCCCCGCCGCCCGGCCCAGCACCGCTTGCGCCTGTTGATCCGTCCAGGACAAGCGCTCCCGGTGGTCGCACGATGATCCCACAAACTCCCGATATCGCCATGCCCAACCAACTCAAGGTGAAAGTCAACTACGAAGCGGGCAACTACTTCACATTGGTTGCACAGTACAACATCACCTACCAGAGCCTAGTCGATCGCATTGACGTCAAGCTCGCCCGGCTAACCAACAGCAGCATCGCTAGAGGCGACCTTAAGCTGCGTTACCGGGACGAGGATGGTGACTTCGTCACGATCCAAGGTGACGATGACATTCAGATCGCGATTTCGGAGTGGCGTGAAGTTAACAGCATTATGCCCGGTGGTCTCGGCGAGATTGAGCTGTTCTGCGTAGGCGAATTGAACTGACCTCGGATACGGGAAACGGAAACAGAAGCAACAGAAAGAAGGTCATGCATCGTTTCTAGACGGCGCCAGGCGACAATATTCCACTTTTCGGTTCTTACATCGGCATATGTCTTCAAGCATACCCGTCGGCAGCTGCTCAGTCTGTTTGCATACTTTTCTTGGTCACTACACGGCGCTAGAGGGACGTTTTGCTCCTTGCTCTTAACAACGAAGAACCAGTAATCGGATGGATGCCCTATACCCGCAGTCGCTCTCTACCCGCCGCTCATTCCAACATTCGCCAGATCGGCCGCTCGTTGACCAAGCCGCATCACAGCTCCGCTATCACCAAGTCCGAAAACCAGCTTATTTCCGCTCATCACACATCCCATATCCCTTTACCCGCATGAATTTTCCTATTATGTTGATGACGACCACACATTAAAGCAGCGACTGCACATATGTTCTCATTTCGTTTCTACTTTTGCTTACTCCTGGCAGGTTGGAGGGTGTTATCGGGAACATTCACATTCCGCTCTTTAGTCTTAATGGTTCTTGCTTGGAGATGGTTTTTTATTGCCGCTTTTTTTCCTTTCTCTTTTCTCTCACTCTCTTTTTATCTTGGGAAACTGCGGGATGGGGTTTGATTGGGCTGGGTTGAACAGGTTTCTGTTGTTCTCGCCTCCCCCTTTTGGCGGTTGATTTTGGGTTCGTTTTGAGGGTGGTGGAAATGGGGCAAATTAGAGGGCGGAGGTTGGAAGTATGGAGGGAGCGTAGACAGCCGGCAGCGGATTATGAGAGAGCTGCTATTTTTTATGTTGTTTCCTGCTTTCATCTTGTAGGCATGTTCTTGCTGCCTGTAGATAAGGACGAATACCCTAGGTGCATTCCTGTCTTAACTTGTCGTTCCTTGATTCTTCGTGACCAGATTCTCCAGCATTGATACAAACCGCCAAATAGTGGTAGGCGAGACTCTTGTCTGCCCCCGGCCTGGATTCGGCAACTCGGCTCGCCCATGTCGTAGACGAATGTCATCTTTTGTGTGTTTTCTTTGTCCGCCCGTTGCTGATATCCGTATGCAATTGTAAGTACATGCCCCAAAGATTTCCCAGTTAACGCCTCCCTTCTCTCTAACACGATATTGTACAGCGCTGCTCCATGCCGTTACATGACGGGGACTGCAACCGATGCGTCATGTGGCTTAATTGGACAGCGGTACAGCCTGCTTCCAAGGAATTTAATCCCCTAGTCCCCTCAACTTCTGTCGTGTTCCGGCAGTCCCTTCTGGTCTCTATCACCGTTTTCGACGCAGGTTCGTTCCTCGTACAGTCGTAGGCATCGACCACAAGCGGGCGTGCTTATTTCTTCTTGCCCTGGGCGATCAACCTCTTCGAGAAACGAGCGAGGTGGTAGTTGATGGTTCTGGAGCCCTTGGCCGGCGCCGGCGGGGCATCCATGCATGCGCGCAGGGCCTGCTCAACCGTCGTGCAGCCCCGGCCTTGGTAGCCAGCGGACGCCCAGCAAGCTGTTAAGTTCGAGAAACAGGCGATATCAGTTACCGGTACATTTGTAGCTCTTTGTCATGCAGGAGTCGAGGGCGTACCCAAAACGGATGACATTATGGTCAGGCACGGGTTCGGCTCGGCGCGGTTAGGCTGGCGGACGCGCAGCACGCGCAAAGGCGGCAGACGGATGGGGTTCTTGTTGGTCATCTTTGAGCGACAGCTGTGTTATTGCGGCAATGGCATCGCGCGGGCTTCGGTTTGCCGTCGCTGGAGTTGTGTTTGAAAGGCAATGCGAATCGGATGGAGTCGCATAATCTGTGATCACGTGGTGATAGTTACCTAAGTTTTCGACTGAGCTTGGCTCAATTCGCACGGCAAAAAAGTGGAGGAGAGCTTTCCCTTGTCTGGATTCCAAACGATCAGTTCTGATTGGTTGCGTTTCGCAGAGGTAAACATTGGATTATCCAGGTCGCATTGCTTCGAGACCCCCTCTCGACCTGGCACGACTTTCGCGATTTCTTCTATCAACGCGTCCCCACGTACTTTTCTCCTGTCCTCGCGCCCTTCCGGTCTCCATGGTATGAGCTAATGGTGATATCCTTCTGTTGTTCACATTACCGATACCCCTTTTTGCACATCTTTTTTTTCTTCTCCCTTGACCATGTTTCCTTTATCCAGTGGCTCGCATGCCACACGCGACCCCAGATTGCCGTCCGAGCAGTAAGTCAATGTTTCTGCCACCACATTCCACGACTGGAATGAGGGCTCACTCGCGTCGTAGGAGCCCGATTACCGCCGAATGCCTTCAGCCCCCTCGAGTATCCTGCCCCCGAGCATGGCAACGCGTTCCGGTTGCCCCTGTGCCTGGCCTGCGTCGACAGCCCAAGATTTGGAAAAGAGTCGGGGGTCCGGTCACTGCAACTGGTCAAGATTCATATGCTCTGGCAATCACAGAGCTGGAGCAGCAAGGCCAGGGCTCAAGGAAGCGGGCGCGACACGCGCAACATATCCCGGCTTGGGGCGACGCGAAGTGGGATCCAAGAGCAGGGAGCGAGCACCACGGAGCTCAGGATCTTGATGAGGCGCGAGGTATGAAGCTGCACATTTCCTGCTGTGGTTTTCGACCTAACGCGCGGGGAGTAGCTACCCTCGCTGCTGCGAAGCAGGACGCCGCAGACCCAGCCGCTACAAACAAATTCAAGACCCGAGACGCGACTTTCCCCGAAGCCAGCCTGAGGTGGGTACCAAGGAAGCGACACAATACGCGGTGGCCGGTTGAGCCGAAGTGGAACGATACCCGCCTTGCGGTCATCTTGCAGCCCTCGATTGACCTTACGGCGCCTGCTTCTCTCGAGCCGGTTGAGACCACAATGAAAATGGACGAGCAGCAGATGAGGAGGCGATCCATCCGCCGTCTCAGCAGGCGCTTTTCTCTCTTTCCCGGAGAGAATTCACCGCGGAAGCTTCCCATGATCAGTCTGTCGCCAACGAAGAAATCAGCGCCAATACCATCTCCGGTCAAAAGGCCGCCCATCACCCTCTCTCCGACCAAAGTCGCAGACTCGCCGCTTCGCTCATTCAGGGTCAACGCAACCCCTACGAAGGTTGTTTTGGAATCGCCAAAGACCGCCCCGCCTGCGATGTCCCCGGCGAAGCCTGCCAGTTCGCCAATCGCACCAGCAGAGGACACTGAGCCCGCATCTCTCAAACAGACTCCTGCCAGCCCTTCTCCGCTCATGTTTGATCAACCCATTCCTGATGCTCAATTCGAGCCGGAGCACGAAACCCGCAGGCGCCTCTCCCTCCAATTGGCGCGTCGGAGCGAACGCGGGTCGAGTGGCACATCACGGCTGCTGGCCCTCAAGACCAGGAGCAACAGTCCCAACCGCCGACACAGCTTCACCTCGGTCGACACCCTGCCGATGGATGCACCAGAACTCTCCAAGAGCAGGCGGAACACCATGGACGTTTTCTGTGTTGGTCCTGATGAAGTTCGTGCGGGCGCAGTGGATGAACCGACCGATGCAACGGTGGCTCGTCACAGCAAAGCAGTGGTTGACGTCGACATGAGAACCAGCGTTGATATCTTCGGCCAATCGAACATAACCGCCTCGTCAGGGGCTCGCGAATCCACGAGCGGTGAGTTGGGTGTCAATGCGACACCGGTCCTCGAGTCTGAGTTGACGTACATGTTACCTCCGAACACCAATACCTCGATCGACGACGGCCTACATGCTTCAAACGCTGTTTCTGCATTCCCCACCAGCACCTCGGACTCTACGGATGGAACAGGGGTGGAGGCGGGAGCGGAAGATGCAAGCCTCCGACAGGCAGCAGCGAGACCAACTCCATGCCACATCCAGCCTGACCACGGCTTCATCCCTACGTTAACGGACTCAACCGACACCGAGGAGCCCCAAATCATGTTTGTGCCGCACGATCCCGAAGGCCTTTCGACCATTTACGAAGAAGCGTCGGTGCTTCAGGATCAGCCTTCCAGCCCTGCTGGTGTCAACGAGACCGCACAGCCGCCCGCCGTTGATGTCGGCTCTCGGTCTTCAGCGAATGAGGCGCGCACGCCAGACGAACTGAACGAAGATCGGTATGACCCTCAAAGTAAGACGGCGACGCCCAGCGCGCTTGTGGATGAAGCATCCGCCCAAGCCGAGGCAATGCGCTCGATACCTGGATCCGGTAAACACAGCTTGAATACTTTTCAACCAGACGTCGTTGCATCTCAGAACGCGGCGAACGAGCAGCTTATGGCCGAGTCGGCGGCTGCAACCCATCCCTTGTTCAACATCCCGACTGGCCACGTTGGCGTGGACGCCATGTCGTCTCCTGATTCGCCACGTTATGACGTGCAGGCATCTTCGATCGAGATCCAACAACAGGTTCCATGCCTGCAGCCTGAGAAAGAAAAAGAAATGTCTCATGTTAGCACCGGCATTGATCCAGATGAAGCGGACGGGTTGGAACATTTTTTTGAACAAGTCCCAGAGGGCACAGACTCTCCATCCCTGGCCGTTGTCTCGACACCTCTCCCCGGAACGCCGCCTAGTGTCCCTGCCACTCAGACCATTGACCACATCGTAACACCGGAGGCTAATGGGTGTGCCGACGCCATGCAACAAGAAAGCTCGGGGTTCACTCCCATCAATGGGCGTCAAAGCTTACCACCGAACGTCCTGTCAAGCCGGCTTCCCGATGAAGAAGAGGCGGAGGCAATCCACGACTCAGATGAGCTCGATGATGATGAAGTGGTTGAGGAGGAACTTCCAGCCAACAATGATGACGAGGCCACCGTGGCTATTGACGAGGATATGCTCACCGGCGAGGCGCCTCACCCTGAGAACGACACTCTCCAGTTACAAGCCAGGCGCGACGATTCGGAGACAGAGATGCTGAGAAAGTTTGTCACGCGGGTAACGGCAGATAAGAACGCCAAGGCAGCAGCAGCCGCCGCCGCGCTCGCAAAGAAGACAGCACGTCGGTCGGGTTCCCTCGGTTCCATCACCTCCTCAACCGGCTCGCCCATGGCCAGGCAAGGATCGGAGACACCCACCAGCAGAACTCCCTTAGGGGCCAAGAGCCCCAACAGCCCAACGCCGACCAAGAAGCGCAAACACGAGCTCGTCAAAGACGACTTGACAAAGGACAAGTCCGTCTCCGAAGACCCATCCATCCAACACAGCGACGGCCCCCGTCTCAAGCGGCGCCGCAAGCGCACCGATCCAGTTCTCGAAAGCGAGAGCGCAACTTCGTCGCCGGAACTCGACTCCCTCCCCTCCACGGGCGCCGGATCAGGCCCGCGCCGCTCCAGCCGCGCCCGCAGCACGCGCGTCGCCCTGAAACCCGCGGCGCCCTCGGCAAACTCGATCGCGCTCTCCATGATCCCAGTGCGCCTGCCCGGGATGGGCGCAATGGACGACGCGGCCCTGGACGCCCACTTGACTTCCATGGCGCGCCAGCGCAGCGAGGAAAAGGATCTCGCGGCCATTACGCGGGGAAATACGCGCAAGAACAAGGGCGGCGCGGTCCCGCCGCAGGTGGTGCTGGCCAAGCAGGCGGAGGATCCGTCGTGGCGGAGGAGGGAGCTGAAGGGGGTGTTTGAGGCCAGGGAGCGTAGGGCCAAGGAGCGGGAGGAGGGTGGTGAAAGTGAAGGGAAGGAGAAGAGGAAGAAGGCTAAGGGGGTGAGGTGGGCGGAGGAATTGGTTAGGTACCAGAGTGACGAGCCGAGTGTGTACAGGGGTATGGCGAGCCAGTTGTTGGCCGATGTGATGATGGCGGATGAGATTGCTGAGGCCGAGCCGCCGGCTGTGGCAGAGCCGCCCGTGGAAAAGACGGCGAGGGTTGCGGTCCGGAGGGCGGCAGCGGTCAGGTCTGCAGCTGCGGCTGCTGCTGCGTCATCTGCGACGGCGGAGGTGCCTGTTTCAACTAGAAGGACAAGGTCGTCGCGGTTGCCGCCTCCAACGCCGGTTAAGAAGATTGCTGGCAAGGAGAAGCCGGCGGCTGCGGAGACGGCTGTCCCGGAGACGACGGCTGCGCCAAGCCTGAAGAGCAAGGCCAAGTCGCTGCCTAACCTGGCGTCTGCATCATCGGCGCTGGAGCCGGCAGCTGCCACTTCGACCCGGTCGGGAATGGCTACGAGGAGGACCAGGTTTGCGAAGCTGGAGATGAGTGGGAATGGGACACCGGCGCCGAAACGGAGGGGACGGACTGCCACTTGAAGGTCGGTGGTGATGTCTGGGTGTTAGGTGTTTTCCCTTGGGATCATTGTTGGCTTACAGTGCATGTCTGGATTGAGCAAGGCTCGAGAGTAGCGAATACCCGGTGTCAGGGATCATGATGTATAGGAGAATGGATTTTTGTTGAGCATGGAGGTTGGTGTATCGTTGGCTTCATGTTACATATGAATTGGTGATGGGTGTTGCCATGTCCTGTGTGTTTTTGTCGAGTGTGTGTGTCTTCTGTGTTAGCCAAAATACCGACTATGCTGGATAGAGGTTCAGGGCGGCAGCCATTCACGATGGCAGCAACGATCAGGTAAAAGTATGCTTGTCTGTTGGCTACCTGGTTGCCTACGATGTCTACGAAACTACAGGGTCCATCCATAGTCCCTGGCTACTATATCCTCTTAACCCCTATACGATCTCACGTTCGCCGAATTAATATGCTGATAAAGTGTGCAGAACCCCGGCCGACAATGCCCAAGGAACACAGCTCCCCCAACGCTTGGGCCCATCCTCCAAGTCCCTAATGCTGTAGGGTCCAGCGAAAGAACAATCCGCTATCCTCCCTTTCCTCCCTTTCAGTTCACTCGCAACGCTCGAAAGCCTCGGGGCTCAGCCAGAAGTCGAGCTCATCCTCAATCCTGTCCGGGCGCACGACAAGGTACCGGGGCAGCTGCTCCAGGCGGACCGAGTTCTCGACACCCGCGATTCTACGCAGCTGCGCGTCGGCGCGGAGCACGCGGGGACGGCCCAGGATGCGCAGCATCTCGCCCCGGGTAATGTCATGGACGCTCTCAGGCGGCTCGCCGCCACCGTTCTCGGCCCGCAGGCGGGCGCACCGGCGCATGAACCAGCCCGCGTTCATAGCGCACTCGTCGCGCACGCCCCAGCGGAAGCAGTTCATGGCGCCCTGCAGGGGGAACACCATGCACAGGTGCGCGCCGTTGGGGCCGTGGTGCGTGAACTTTGCCACGGCGAGGCCCTTGTTGTCGGCCCTGTCGTTGCCCTTGGCGGCGCGCTCCAGCAAGTGCTCGGTGACGGCACGGAGATTGCCGTGCTGCTCGTGGATGTCGGCGAAGGCCTGCGCGATGTCGATGCGCCGCCAGGTGTGGGTGAGGTTGTCGCGGGCCAGCCACGAGAGCGAGTGGCGGTCGTGGTCGAGCTTGTGCACGATGGTGTAGCGGCCGTTGTCGAGCATGTCGCCGAGGTGGGTTGGGTGCAGCTTGCCTGTGCCGTACCACTGCAGGTGCTCGGTCTTCTCCGACTCCACGTCACGCTGGAAGACGGTGACGGGGAGGATCTCCATGTTGGCGGCCATGTTAGATATTATCATGAGTGGTTTGTGATCGGTGATGGATGAAGGGATGTCTAGTGACCGGTCAGCGCTAATGGCATCGACAGGGAGTTACCATCGAGATGATCGCTTACTGTTGACAACTGCTCTGAGTTAAAGCAGTGTGCTGACTGTAACTCTGATGGTTACACTCGATCTTGTCGGTGTTCTAGGTTGCGAGTTCGGCGGATTCCAAGATTCAAACAAATCGGTTGGACCAATTCCAAAGGAAATGCACGACAATGGCAATACCGAATGCACACCAATCTCCTAAACGCTCAAGGTCAGAAGACCGACAACAAGAAGAGAATCTGGCAAGATGTTCCGCACGAAGATGATGTGGTATGGCCAACCTCCTCCAGCCTTTCGTCGAGCTCAGAGCTCAAGTGAAAAGGTATTGGCAAAAATCAACAAGTGAGTGAGCAGAGTGGCTGTTCACCAGAAAACCCCAACAATGCCCCATTGGGTTTACCGGCAGCTTTTTCAGACGACGTTATGTTCCACGGTGCGGTCACGGTCGCGGTCACGGTCCCGAGCCAACGCGTTCAACTTACGTTCTTCACGGCAGCTCTCTTTGTTCTCACACGCTACAAACTGGTTATTTTTGGGCCAGCCTGGTGTCTGGAACCTGGAAAGGCTCGCCCAAGAGGGCAAGCATCTGCGCCTGTCATATGCCTTTGGTTTGCCGCCTTTAAACCAACCGTCTCAGCATCAATCCCACAACGCAAACGAAGATATTGATCTCTGGATACCTTATGGCATGGAGGGCAAAGTCAGGCAACAAATCAGGAAGGCAGCGCAGTTGGCCAAACCCTATGGAGAGTCAGCCATCACTGGCAGAGCGTCCACTTGCGAGAGTCAACAGTTACCTGGGGTCCTGGCGTTCACAACTCACGAACAGCATGCCTTGAATCAGACCTTATTTGTTGACCAGCCTGTCATCGGAATGGTCAGATTTATGAATGTACCTACCTCTGTTCTGTAAGTCAACGGGCAGGAAGAGTTGCCCCCTGAGACTCCACTTGTGGGTTCTGGAGAGCAAAAAACTCACCGAACCCACAATACGATGATCGCCCCTCAGAATCTCCCTTCCACCTCCCCACCCTAACAAGGAGCCAGCGCCCGGCTAGCTCAATCGGTAGAGCGTGAGACTCTTAAAGACTCCCAAGACTGCTAAGGGTCCTTAGGTTCACACATCTCAAGGTTGTGGGTTCGACCCCCACGTCGGGCTCAATTCCCGTCTTCGACTGAAGTCTTTGACTTGCTTTTTACCTTTTTTTTTTTTTTTTTTTTTTTTCGCGCTCAGGACCGGTTCAGGCATTCTCACTTAAATGCTACAGTACTGTGGTCGTCTCCGTGGCAGTGTCTTTCACTCGGCTCTGCGATGTCTACACAAGGCAGAGAACACTGCAAAACTTGTAAGGTGCTCACTCTCCGGCTTGAATGATCAAAGTTACAGATACGCTACTGCTCAGGGCTTTCAGGGCTACTCTCAGGATAGGAAACATGCTGAGGGGCTGTATACACCCGGTTTGATACTTCTACCGCAACATCTCCAAGTTCCTGATGCCCCTGATATACCGGCGTTCCAGTCCTATCATGTACAACCGTTTCCCGATCACCGTTGTATCCCTGTCCCCACCCACAATCACTCCTCCACCCCCCATCACCGCTCCCCATCCCCTTCTCAACGTCCGTCTCAGGTCTGTCCGGGGTAGGCAACTCGACCTCCTCAGCAGCCACCACCACCACCCTCCCGCGGCCCTTCCACCCCGTTTGGTCATTCCCTCCTCCTCCTCCTCCTCCCCCGACCCCGACCCCAAACCCAATTCCGCTCTCACAAGTAGACGCAGCAAGCTCGGCAGCGCCCAACCGACTCGGCGTCTCCCCCCTGCCCCGGCTACTACTATTACTATTGCCGTACGTAGCACCCCTCCCACGTCCATCCATCTCCTTCGGACTAGGCGGCGGCGCCTCCTGGACCTCGACCGGCAACGAAAGCCCGCCGAACCCAAACGGCGAGCGCGCCCACCGCGCTATGGCGGCCGCCCTTCCGGCTCCGGCTCCTAGGAAAGCTGGAGGCGGCGGTGGCCAGGGGAAGTGAGAATGATGATGCCCGTTGGCGTTGTCGTTGTCGGCGGAGGGGTGGTGGTTGGTGTCACTGACGTGGCCGAAGGAGAAGCCGCGGTGGCGGTGATGGTGACGGCGGGGCGGGTAGGTTTGAGTGGTGGACGAGGAGGAGGAGGTTTTTTCTGTCTTGGTATCATCTGCGTTGCCGCCGGACCCGTTGCCGGCGCCCGTGGTGGTGGGCTTGCTGCGCTTGCCTTTGTGGCCGCGACGGCTGTGGCTGCCGCGGGAGCGGAGGGGCACCCGGGAGAGGAGGTAGGCTACTGCTAAGAGGACGAGGAGGATGGGGAGGCCGATGCCGAGGCCTATTCCGAGGCCGATTTGGAGGGTGTTGGTTTGGGGCTGGGAGGTGGTGGTGGAAGTGCTGGTGGAGGACGGGGTGCGGATGATGGTGCCTGCGGGGATGGTGAGCCAGGAAGAGGGCGTCGAGCAGCAGATGGAAGCGTCCGGGCCGCAGCAGTATTGGACGGTGTTGGTTATGTTGTCGAAGCTGGATGGGCAGGAGATTAGCGGGATCTCGGCCAAGCCTTGGTCTGGTGAGGTCAGCGTTCGTCGCTTCGTCATGTCATATCATGCCCGGGGAAACATACCATTGCCCACCGAACACAACTTGCTGCAGGAGCCGCCCCAGTTCTGGTCGGTGCAGCCTTGCTGCGTCATGAGGTTGCTCGACTCGGGGCTGAGACAGAGCCCGTTGGAGAGGCAGTAGTCGCCCTTGTTGCAGCACCATGTCGTCGCGAGGGCATCCGTGGTTCCTGGGCTGACACATGGTTGCAGTTCTGCGTCCTCCTGGCCCCATGTATTGTAGCATGTTTGGGCACTGGCGTTGCCGAGAAGCAGACCCGCCAGCAGCAAGAGTTGTGTTGTCGGTGTTCTTGCCCTTGCCATTGTTGGGCATGGGACGGCTCACAAGACCTCAGGAACTGCTGTCAAGAACAATGGCGGTGGGGAAGGTATTGGAGAAATAGCTCGAAGGATGGCGGCGTATGATCTTGATTCTCGCCCCATTGGGGGCAAGACACAGCTTCGACGGCACAGCATATCGAGTGTGACAATATGGTGTTTGGCCCTTTGTTGTTGCGGCACAGCAATGTTGGCGTGATCAAACCAGCAAAGTGGCTTTCTGCTTGTCACCAACAAGCGAGGAGCTGAGCCAGCAACTGGAACCAACAGCACCAACCTGGATGCCGAAATCGTGTGGTGCCCTAACTGCCGGGATCTCAGAATAGATGCGTTCAATTTTTCGAGTATGCAGCTGTGAAACTCAGTGCACATTCATGTTTTATCTCGAGTCGCTGACATAAATTTACATGTATTTGCACGTCATGATTCTCATTGTACCTTTAGTAGGGGGCCGAGATGTGGCACAACGCTCAATTGCCAGGCTCCAGCTTACAAGTTAAGAGGATAAGGGTGCCAAGTTGATGTGCCATCCCGGAGTTCCCGGACGGCCAAGGTGCTGCAGTGCCAGTGCCGGATTCAGAATCACTGCAGCCGCGGCGGCAACCAGTTCATTGCTGCAGCCAAACAAGGTTTGCACCAACGCCATACCCGCCCTTTTCGTCTGGTATTTCCTCTACTGTGTAAAGCCACACACTGACGAGGGGAAGTTGGGGAACCCACTGCGTCCGTCTTACAGGCGCGCTTGCTGCGCCACGCACCTACAGAGCTGCTGGACAGATACGGGGTCCGGTTTGATCAAGCGACGGAAATACCGTCTATGGTAAGCCATCCTCTGTCAGTCTGCATGGGGCCCAGTGACGCCGCCCGCCTGATGCGGCCCGTCCCCCGCTGTTTCAGCTGCCGGGCTGCCCTTAGGTCGGCAGAAACAGGGGCTTCCATCGGAGGTAAACCATAGTGGCGTGGCATTCTCCCGGAATAACAAGGAACGAAACCTGGGGCTGGATTCTCAGAATTACCATAGTATCATAGGCGATTTCGAAACTGGCTAGCGTAGGTAAGTAGGTATCATTCATTAGAACAACAAATACCTGCTTGCCATGCTGTATGCCTCGAATGCGGACTTGGATAGATCAGTTCCTAGAAAAGTCATGATTAGGTAGCGAGTCGGAATCATAATATCACTCCTAGGTTACAGGCAGCTTCAACCAGGTTCATATCTTACTCTTCCAGGTTGATCGTTTATTTCACATCAAGCGCATTCAGGGACAACTCTAAAATGAGTGGAAAGAGTGAGTGTAAGGTAAGATACGTACCTACCTATCGATACAAGTATTCGTCAAGGGAGTCAGTCTACAATTTGTTGAGATCACTTACCTGGCTCTCCTGAACGGAGAAGTAGATAGATTTGCTAGTAGAGATGATACCTACGTAGCAGCCCTACACAGGCTGTGCCATTAGTATACCTACAAGGCCTCCCTGCGCCTGGCTTCCTCGTGCTCAGGGGTAAAGTCATTCCTGATGTTGAGAATCTGGCGAATCTCCTCCGTGCTCTTACCGCGGATCATGTCGGCGACGATCTGGCAGGCCATGTCGTACAGCGGCTTGATGTCGAGGTAGTTTGTGGCGACCAGGATCTCGAACAGCATGTCCTGGTCAACGTTGCTAAAGAACTGGTCGTCCCAGGGGGTGAACTCGACGGCTGTCACATTGCCGGCGGCGGCCCCGTCGTCAGCTGCCTTGGGCGCGTCGCGCCAGTGCGTGGTCCACTCGAAAACCTTGTCCAGGCACTCCTCACTGACATTAACCGAGATGGGGATGACGCTTTGGCCGAATTCCAAGCTGCTGAAGTCCTCGAGTAGTTGACGGACGACGACTGAGTGCTCGGCGGCAGAGCGCGGAATCTCAAAAACCCTTCCGTTGGGGTCGAGGGTGTTTTGGAGGCTTATGGTTTCAAAGGCCATTGTGTTAGTGGGCATGGGTCTTTGGGCTTGGTTGTTGTTGTTGCCGAGTTTGAGACAGACAAAAGCGGATGAAGAGACTAGCTGATGGTATGAGAGCTTCTTGGCCGTTTTATACCATTCTTGTCTTCATTATCACGTTGAGCCAGCCCAAGTTGCAGCGTGGGTCTAGCAGAACCGGTATTTTGCATCGTTCGAACAGGCAGCCATGAAACAAGGACAATGGGATTGTAATAGAAGGTTAAAGCGACTGATTGGTATGCTCTCATAGTTACACAAAGAGTAAAGAACTCGAGCATCTCTTTGTGTATTACCTCAACAGTACTCCGTACAACACAAGCTTGTTCGAAGAGCAACCATACAATGAAAAGCAAAGACAGAAGAAAGACTGCATAGGAGCGGCTAAGATACTCGTAAAGACTTACAAGTCAACCCAGGTTGGTTTGTTAGCGCGGAACTTGCGTATTTCAGGTATTACACCTCATCGTCTTTCACTTTGATTCTCCCTTTATTTCTTCCCTCTTTCTCTTCCCTCTTCTCTTTAACGTTTGTCTTTACATTCTACTATCATTCTTCTCTCTTAGTTGCTTTCTTACGCTCCTTTAAATTCATCTCCAACGTCTTTGAGGTAGTGCCCCGCCATGTGCCACTCTAACGAGCAAACCATGGCTGAATTGCACGTCTTGAGCTTGTTCAAAAGTCTGAAACCACTGCGAGCAGCATGGCCACAACATCAACGACAGAAGCTGACCATGCTATTCAATCTCGTGGTTCACTTGCCTCTCCGTCGTCTGGTCCCTAAGCCGAGCCAACGGACCTGAGAAAAGAATTGAGAAAATGCCTCGAGTGAAATGACTGGAGGGTTATGATCTATGAGCTTCAATCCATCATGACATGTCTGAAAAGAACTTGACAGTTCCTCGACAGATCTTGGCAACACTCTGGTGGCAGCTGGTCGTGGAGACGCCCATGGGACGTCGGCAGTGATCAATGATGCTTTGACTTGGGATCATCTGATTCACTGGTCTCGCTAGAAACCTGAAACGCAACCCCGTGTTCGCTTCCGCTCGCGATGGGACACAGACCGTCCCAAGATCTGAAAGGCTCATGGAGAGCGGAAACGGAGGGAGGAAACCGAAAGAAGGAGCACTGGGAGGGGTGGGGAGGGTGCCATTCTGGGATCCTGGTGCAGATCTCGATCCAATGACAAGCTGGAAGCCAGATGCAACTCGCTGCGGCCTGCCCCTCTTCCGCCCCCTCGTTTAGGGCCGACTTGGGCTGAGGTTAGGGCCCTGGATGTCAGTGCGGCATGCACTTCAATCGTACAGACAGACGGAAATGGCTGCCCCGTCAACTGCCTGCGCAGTATACGTATACGGATGAACTTCAGAAAGGATTATTTTGTGGCGCTCGCTCGGATGATCGCCCGGAGCCGAGGGAGCTTGGCAGAGAACCTCATGCCAGCCACGTGCGGAAGCAGCTAACTTAGGGACCCGCTTCTCGCAAGTCTCTCGACGGAGTACCTCTCCATACCAGAGTTCAAAATTCGAGCATAACAAAAGCTCACAAATAGCAAAAAGCAACGCCGTAACCCCCAACGATTTGGAACACATGAGTGCACGTTCCTCTTCCATGGCGGATGAGAACGTGTGTGGTCTGCGAGCTCTGCTACCCCTCTTCTGCGGCCTTGCTTCTTCTTGAAGGTGTAAGTGGAGCGCACTGACAGTGACAGTATGCAGCTTCTGGGTCGGCAACAACAAAATCGGCCAGTGCTCGGGGACAGCCAGCGTTCAAGAGTGGCTGTCCCCACGTTCAAGATGGCAGGTGGACGGCAGGCTGCAGTGAATAATTGCCGATCGTACCAACTCTGGTGTCTCACCAAATGATGGGTGGGAAGTGACGCAAGCAAGCTAGAAGTGAAGGAATTCAGACAAGTCACCTCGACTAGATCTCGCTGACAGAAAAAAGCCACCAGATTGGGCCGATTCTTCGAACCGGGTCAGCAAGGGAGCAGCACGCGGCTCTGAACGGATAAAGCAATAGTGGAGGTATCTGATCTCTCAACTCCTCTGGTGGCACCCGCCAATCTGGTGGGACGGAGCCGAGCAAACGCCATCCCTTGCCGTGCAGATCATCCCCCCCCCACCTGTGATTGGGGTCCCATGTTCATGCAAGGGCACAGATGCAATTGCACGCGATGAGGTTCTCGGCCTTGTGTCTATCAGGTTCAAGCAAACGAGCACACAGTTACACCAGAGACAGAGTATCCGATCTGCGGGAGGACAACATGGCTCAAGTGGCGCCTGTATTCCGATTTCCCGGACGACGCGGCACATATCATCCCCTTCCCGTCGCTTCATGACCTTTCGTCTTTTCTCTTCTCTCTCCCTTCTGCTTCATGTTCTCGTCCGTGTGCAGCTTGGCTTAACGTATGGGAACATTCCACTCAATCTTGATTTAATCCTTGGCTTTCGTCGTTGGCTCTACCCTCTTTCACCATGAAGTTTCGGATTCCGTCGTGGCTGAGCTGGTACAAAAAGCCCGAGTACCGCGACTTCAGGGAGTATGCCACCAATATCAGCACTGGCAAGCGGCCCCTGAGCCCAGATGGCCGCAACGGCGGCATTCCCAGCAGGCTGCGGCTTGAGAGGATCTTAGCCAACAAGACATGTCAGTGGCTACCTCGTGGTTTCGCCGCAGTGCCGTGTCTCGACTTAACGCAAGTGTTTGGCAGGCAGCCCGATGTCGCTATACGACTTTTACATGTACCTCAAGTACATCGAATACTCGGCCGAGAACCTCGAGTTCTACATGTGGTGCGTTCCCGGCTGCCTCGTTTAGTGCCATGGATGACGGCCTGGGACTGACGGCAAACAGGTTCAAGAACTACGAAGCAATGTACAGCAAGGGCTTGGCCATCGCCGACAAGGACTATGGTTCCATCCCCAGCGCAGCCCAGTCCACCTCGTCGGTAGCCCGAATCAAGCCTGGCGAGAGCGATGTTTCGATGGAGAAGCTGGACCACGACCATGAAGATGACGAAGACAGCGAGGCCGGTATGCGCCCTTTTCATCCTGTTTGATGGAAAAGACCAGAACACTAACTAGTCGGCCTTCCAGCCCAAGAAACCCTCGAGCGCATCTCCCAGCTCATCTCCACCACCGCCCTCTGCACCTCCAAGTCCTCCTGCGCAGCCGCCGCACGCACCTCCTTCCCACCTCCCATCCACTCTCCCACCAAGACCTCCAAACCCCACCACCTCACCCCTTCAACCACCAACACCACCACCACCACCAAAGTGTCAAGCACCACCGAACTCCCCACCATCATCTCCCTCTTCCTTCTCCCCAACTCCCCCAAAGAACTCAACATCCCCCCGGCCCTCCGCAACCAAGCCCTCTCTAACCTCCAGACCCACGGCGCGCACCCGGTCGCCCTCAAGCCCGTGGCCGACCACGTCTACTCCCTCCTGCGCAACTGCTCCCACCGCAACTTTGTCCGCCTCGGCGTCGGCAACGGCACCTTCGAGACGGTCTGCGTCGCGACTGTCCTCGGCTGGACCACCCTGCTCGGCGGGTTCTTGTTGGTCCTGTGCCGGGCCATGACGCCCTTTCGGGGGGCGCACACGCGCTGGGAGGTGTTTGCCGCCTGGCCTCTTTGGTGGCTTGGTATGAGCCTTGTGCTATCTGGGCTTAGGGGCAGTTGTTTCTTTTTATTGTTGTTTTCCAGACGGCAGAGGTTGCCTTGGGAGAGGTTTGATGATGGGCATGGGGAGGGGGGGCTGAAGGGTGGTGGCGGTGATGAAGGGAGGGGGGAGGGGAGGGGGAGGCGGAGGCGGGGAGGAGGGTTGAGGGAGAATAAGAGGATTGGTGCTGATGGTGATGGTGGTGGTGGTTTGGGCAGGTTGGGCGGTCTGTTGAGGAGCGTCAAGAGGTTGATGATTTTTGATCGGAGGATTCGGGTGCAGGAGAAGCATTTGAGGAGGCTACAGAGGAAGATTGTGTTGCAGAGCTTGACCGGGGGAAGCGTCTTTGCGACGCTGTGTGTGGTCTTGTTTATCTGGTTGCCTGTTTGGAGGGAGACGGTGTAAAGGGGTGTGTTTCATTGGAAGTGATCTTGATGTCTTGATACTTTCTACCTCTCGTTTTCGTTACAAGCTTGGAGCTGGCGGCAATGGATGATACCTTGTGTTCGCGAGGGATGGGTGATATGCATGCCAGATAGTGTCTGGTCCTTCGTTCATCTCAGACTGTGTATTACTATTACTTACTCAGCCAACTTTAAATGAAGTTTCTCTTGGAACAACTGAATAGGTATGTTTAGGCACCTAAGGCAGGCATCTCAAGCAGCGGATTCAGTCGAAGAAGACTGGAAGGTCCTTGACCACAGTCACCAATCCAACATTCCTGCACCGCGGGCTTGCTGCAGAGGAGAGACCCAATACCTACCTATCAAGTGATTCCATTCCCGGCGGTTCGAAGACTGCCCGTGGAGTCAGAGGTTCAGTAGTATGTTTGGCGCCCGACTAGTACTTCCCCAGCAATCAGCGGCAATCCTGTACAAGGCAAATGTACCTCAAATAGTGTTAGAGTCCTTGGCGACTGCTGTAGATAAAGATATCCTTTGCTCCCTCTCATTTTCTCGTTTTCGTTTACAGTTGACTGTTATTGATGCCCCCTGCCGTTCTCGCTTGCTCCATGTCCCTATCCACATTGAGTCTTCGGACTCACGCCAACACCTCAGAGGCATGCCAACATCACCACTAAGCATAACAAGTGGACAACCTAACACGGGGGAGCGTCCTGAAAGGGTGCATCTTGCGTCATTGTTTAGCGATGAAGCCTTACCAGATCTACCCTTATTTCCGCCCTCCCGGCTGTTCGGGTGGTATCCCGCACCGTCTCCTTCCGCCCTCCTGGATTTGGGGTCTCCACGGGCCACTTCCCCCCGTCCGAAGCAAGAACTCCGCCAATCATCTGTCCGCAGTCCCTGAAATCAACGCAACTCCAACCCGGCTAACAGCGACAAGCCAAGATGGGGGTCGGTATGGGGTGAGCCGGGTCGCTTTCATAAAGTTGGCCATTTGGCCAGAGCTGCCATCTCTCGCTCCCCCGGGCTCAACTTCATCCTCATTGTCATCCCTAACTTTATCACAATGGGACGGTTCTTGACGTCGACCGCGCTGGCAGCCCTTGTCGCGTTCCCCGGACTCATTCCGGGAGTCCATGCCCAGAACGAGGCGGCTCTGTGGTCCCAATGTGGTGGACTAAACTGGACAGGACCGACGAACTGTGTCTCTGGTGCCGTCTGCACTAAGTGGAACGACTGGTTCTGTAAGTTTAACCCCCCCCCCCCCCCCCGACAAGGCAGAGCTTGGAAGGCTTACACCCATCGCAGCCCAATGCGTCCCGGGGGCCACCACAAGCAGCACGTCCTCCGCCCGGAGCACATCTACTTCCACTTCCATTTCCAAGACCAGCAGCAGCAGCACTTCGAAGGCCACCACCTCGTCCACGTCCACGCGCACCACCCTCACCACGTCGACCCGCACGACGTCGACTACCAGCTCGGCATCCAGCTCCAGCACTGTCGACCCCTGCGCGCTCAAGTACCTCATCAGCTTTGGTGACTCGTACTCGCAGACGGGCTTCGACATCAACGGCAACAAGCCCTCGAGCAGCAACCCGCTCGGCAACCCACCCTTGCCCGGATGGACCGCCAGCGGCGGGCTGAACTGGGTCGGCTTCCTGGCTTCGCAGTACAACACGTCTACGCTGCTGGCCTACAACTTCGCCTACGGCGGCGCCACCACCAACGCCACCATCGTCCCGCCCTACGCGCCCACCGTGTTGAGCTTCATCGACCAGGTGGCCCAGTTCAGCGGCAGCATCGCCAGCAAGCCGAGCTATGCCCCCTGGGGTGACAATGCCTTGTTCGGCGTGTGGATTGGCGTTAACGACGTGGGCAACACGTGGTGGAAGTCGGACTATGATCAGATCGTGGCCCAGATCATGGACAGCTACTTTGGACAGCTGCAGATCCTGTACAATGCGGGTGCGAGGAACTTCGTGCTACTGACTGTGCCACGTAGGTTGCTCTCAATGTTCTCTCTTTGTCCTGGGCATGACTAATAGTACGGCTAGCCATCCATCGCACTCCGGCCTTTATTGCGCAGGGAAACCAGCAGGCCGTCGCCGCTGCTATCGCCAAGTACAATGCGGCCCTTTCAACTAGACTGGCGGCCTTCACGACCAAGAATAGCGGCACTACCTCCAAGATTGTCGACACCACCGTTCCCTTCAACACGGCGCTCGACAACCCGACTGCCTACGGCGCGCCCGATGCGACGTGCTACAATGAAGATGGCAAGTCATGCCTGTGGTTCAACGACTATCACCCTGGGATTGAGATCAACAGGCTGGTTGCGAAGGCTGTGGCAGATGCCTGGAAGGACAGCTACTTCTGAGAGCTGTGCAAGCATGTTCCGTCTCAGACTTCTTTGTTTGGAGTCTGGGTGTGATCAATGGCTTTGTGAGCGGGCACTGCGGAGGACTGTATCTCAATGACAAACAGCCTGCAACTTGTTCTCAGACGTGATGCCCAAGCCAAAGACCTGTGAGACATTAATGCAACGATATAGTTCAAGTGGAAAACTGTTGTACTGAGCGCAAGAATTCCAAGCCAGAACCCAGATTTAGAGCTTCAGCATGGTGTCCATCTGCTCCTCTGACGTTCTCATACTACGAAGTCAACTCTCGACGACGACGTCCTGCACAAAGATCACTGGTGACAAAAACATCCATCATGGCCACCGCTCCCATTCTCCCACACATCACCGCTCCGGCGGAGAGGAAGAACTTCCTCGAGGCCATCAACCTCGTCTCCTCGGTGAGCAGTACAACACCCTCACCAACACGGACTTTGCCCCTACTAACGAGCTCACAGAAGTCGCCAACCTTGCTAGCAGTCTGGTTACAGTGAAGGACCCCAACTCCGACCGCGCCCTGCAGATCAACCTAATTATAGAAGCAGCCCGCTTCTTCACCGGCCTTCTCCGCTTCATGATCGACGGACCGCCCGACATCGTCGAGAATGTCGTCCCCTACGGCCTGCGGCAATGATATGAGCGACCTGATTGCCTTCGCGCACACCATGCTCGCTAACGACGCTGGCAAGGAGTGCACGCCCGACATCGCGGCCTGCGCGCAGGACATGAAGCCCCCCGTGGTCCACAAGGCTGTGAGGCGGCTGATCAGCTGCCGCAGGGCCACGCTGGAGCGGTTCAATCTTGTAGGGGGCATGGCGGTCCTGTATGAGCGGCCCCATCATCACATGCAGGTTGGGGATGAGAAGGGGAGGTGGCTCGGCCGCCGCCGCTGCTGGAGATGATTTCGCTCTTCCAGGACAAGCTGGATGAATGGATTGAGTTGGAGGAGCGGAGGGAGCAGGAGCGGCAGGAGAAAGTGGAGCGGGCTAGGAAGAAGGTCGAGATGGTGTGGAATGGGGAGAGTGACGTGTCCGATGGCTATACGTCGGATTGGAGCTTTGAGTGGTTGGGTGAGCGGCCTGAGTAGGTTGAGGAGGTTAGAGTCAGCATGCCTGGGAGGTATTTTTAGTAAGTTCGCAAGTTTTGGGATTGATTCAAGCTGCTCTTGGATGGTTGATTACCGGTATCAGATTTGTAAACAGGTAACTAGTACTTTATGCTTGTGACGAGTATCTCGACTTCCCGGATTGTCGGTGTTAATGATTCTGGGATGTGTGTCTCTTCCAGTTGCCTTAGGTAAGGTAGTAACAATTCTCTGTGAAATTCCAGCACCTGGGTCAGGTAACGGGAATGGACGGATCACCTTAGGTGAGGATTGAAATTGAAGACGGATGCTTCGCCAACTCTCCTGGACAAGCTACGTAAATCATGATGGTTTCACCGGCTTAAGCAGTAGGGAGCACCGCTTTTACAAAGTCCTTACCTTTCAAGGACCCGGCCTTTACAAAGCACCGAACCTGTCCTACCAGAACAGGTCTGGCAGTGGATGAGATGATTCAACCAACCATCGCCATGACTCAAACACCGGCCCCAGGAACATTGAATGATCCGAGGTCGACGTTCTCAAACGCGGACTTAATTACCATGCCAAAACTGCTCGCTTTTACTTCGAAAATCCACACATTCCCAAAACTCTGTTCAGGAAACGATACAGAAATAAACGAGATTACCTGCTACCTCAGTAGTAAGGCCTCTTCAACAGAGCCACGACAGCCGCCCAATTTCAGTCTTTCCCTGGTTGACATTTCCACCTAGCACGGCGCGTCCCTACATGCCGAGAGCCATCTGCGGAGGCAAGCCTCGCCTGGCTTGCCCGGACGTTAATACTGTAGGTAACATCAACAACAACAACAATAACAACGACGACAACAACGACATTTCCACCAACCTGGTAACAAACTTCAACATTTAACCACCATCATCGAGACACCAAGCGTCATGTTCCTTCAAACACTTTGACTTCATCACGCGCCTCATCATCACCGCACCCAAGAAGAGTCCAAGTCCCCGAATACAACCACAAGGGCACCATGATCCCCTACATGTACTTGAAAAGAGATTACATCAACCCGCACCCCGACCCCAAGCCCCCACCCCCTCCCCCATCCCAGCACCATCCTTCCCCTCAAACGAAGACAACAGCCGCACGGGCGTGCCTCATCCTCTTACCGACATCTTCCTCATCGTCCCGGTCTTCTACATCCTCATCGCCGTCGTCTTCGGCCTCAACAACCTGCAACCGCCGCGACCTGGCGCGCGGCATGATCAACGTGCACCCCCGCTGGCGGCATCCGGCTATCTTGTTCATGCTCGGCTGGGTGTGGCCCCTGCATTGCTGCTATATCGTGCGGGATGTCGTGCGCGAGTGGGTGTGCACGGAGAGGAGGAGGATGGCGGGGAGGGACCGCAGGCTGGGGGAAGAGGGCGGAAGGAATGGGACAATTCCGCGTACGCCGGGGGAGGGCGGACGTGCTGCTGTGGAAGATGGTGATGGAGGAAGCGGAAGGGGAGGGCTCTGGAGTAGGTTGCAGTTCTGGAGGATTGCGAGAGTAAGGGGTAGGGACTCGAATGAGGAGCCTAACCGTAGCTTGGCCGGGGATGGAGCGGCCAGGGGTGCAGGGGATGGTGCCACCGGTACCAGGAATGTTAAATACTTGACGGTTGTGACCGCCGGCCCGAGCAGTGGTGCAGTTGGGAGCTAAAGTTGGGAAGGTATTTGCTGTCGGTCGATGGCCTGGTAAAGAGAATGCTGCTAGTACAACTCTTTAAGCTCTCGATATTGATAATTGCTCCTGAACCTCGACGAGCCATCACAGACTGAACCTTCCACTCGAGTCCAAACTCGAAACTCTTCCCCCTTGGCCCTCGGTGCCTGAAAAGCCCCTGTGGTGAGTATAATGTTGTACCTGTTGGGTTGTCGCTGAAGTCCAACTACCCGCGGGTTTTCGTGTCGCCCCCATCCTGAGACTTCTGCCTCTGCAGCCCGGCCACCAGCAGCATGCTTTGTGAGACCTTGTCCCAGTCGTGTAGTGTAAGGGTGTTCTCTCTGTTCTCCATCACCACTTCGTACCCGCGCTGCCAGACCTCCTTCTCGTACTTCGCGATCGCCTTGGCCAGCTCGTCCCGAGTGTGCGCCTTCATGGCTCGGAGATGGGTTTGCAGCTCAGCAACATCGGTGATGGCGTTACCTAAGCCCTGGCCACGGTCTTGTATGACACAACTGCGTCAGAATAGTCATGCAAGCTGATAGAGCCATTACCGCCGGAAAAGGAACAACTCACGAAATGTTAGGGCATGCGCGGCGTCGCCAGCCAGCGTAACAAGTCCACCGCGGCCATCCCAGGGCCGGGTCGGCCAGTAATTGACGCGTTTACCGTACCAGGCCCTGGTGCCCCGGGGGATGTCCCTGACCATCGCGTCGAAGGGGTAGGCTAGCGGCTTAGCGAGTGCGCAGACTTTGTCCAGAAGCAGATCGCTGTCTTTGGCAAGATCCTCATTGCCATCGGTGTCGTTACAAGGCCACGTGAGGAGGATCATGAAAACCCACTCGGCAGGATCTTCCGAGGTGCCATCGTGTAGGGAGAACCACGCGAATACGCCGCTGGGGTTCAGTGCGATACAGTATGTCGGGTGGACGGCTCTCAGGTCTAATGCAAGTTTGCGGTCCAGCCTCGTCAGGGCCACGAATGACGAGATGGGCAGGTCTTGCATTGCTGCGTCCTCCGGGGAAGACTGGAAGAGCCAGTTACGCGTGGGACTGTGGGCGCCCTCCGCACCGATGAGGAGCGCCCCAGTCTCCACAGTCCCGTCTTCGAATACCGCCGTGATACTCTCGTCTGTCGTAGTGATAGACTGCAGCTTCTTGCCATACTGTGGGCAGGTTAGTCAGATGCTGCGAATGTGCGGTGCGAGACGACATCAATTGATATACGGGGGGTCCACTTACACGCACGTCCAGCCCTGTTCTGATGAGGTCTAACCATGCCCTCCTCCTGAGGCGGATAGCATATGGAGCGGGGAGGTCCCTGATCAGCTCCCCTGTGAAGCCGTTGTACACCGGAAGTACGGACCGCTCGTGGCGCCGGTAGGAAGGGTCGGTCTGGACCGTGTCGACCAGCGCCTTCAGTTCGGAGGTCAAGCACTCGTCAATACGGGATTGAGCCCAGTAGACGCCAAAATCCCAATCCCGCGGCCGAGCGGTTGGGCTTGCGTCTTGCTCGAAGACGGTGACATCGATTCCGGCCTGAAGATCGGTCAGTGCCTCTCAGACAGTTCTCAAGAGAGCGTCTACTCGTGCCTTTTTGAAGATCTGACCCATCAACAATCCAGCGGAACCTTTCGTTGTGGCCAGCGGTTAGTTTGGTTGTAGGCCGCTAGCAGGGGCAAGGAGATTCGACGCTGCAACGTACCTGCGCCGATGACCAACACTCGCAGTGCCTCCGAAGGCGTCACAGACTCCATTGTGTCAGAGCAAGGCGCTGGTCTGAAGACTCTCAAGTGCTGATAGTCGCGAGGTTCTGAGCGTCCTAAACTATAAAATACGGGTCCGGCGGGCGTATCGTTGATGGAACCCTTGGATACGTCATGATGAGGGAGATGGAGAACCCGACCTTTAATACCTCACCTGTTTCGCTTTCGCAGCAGCAACCAATACCCGATGGCCATTTAGTGCTTCGCAGCATCTGAGGAGATACATGTATTGGCCACGGTGTGATCAACGGCCTCATCCACCCGATGGCTGCTTGTGGCTTTACTGCATGCAATCGAATGTCCGGTGACCACAAGGTTGTGTAACCCATCCGGGGAAATCCGACGGCTGCTTTGAGACATTGTAATACAACAAGTGCTCCAGTACTAAGGAGATCTGGCAGTCCGAGTCGTTGAGAAAGCGTCGGGTGTCCAGCCATTCAGTTGCCTACCACCCTTCCAAGCTAGTTAGAAGCTGCCCAGCGGGCCAGCAGTCGCTGTTTGGAACTTGTTCGTTTGTCTCTAAGTGTCAATGAGGGTAGAGAGCAACGACTTGCTGGCCGCAGTTCTCCGACCTTTCAATGTGGTTGAACAGTTCTCTATCATGATCTGAGCCTCCTCTTGAGAACTGGGGGCAAGGGCGTCGTCACGCTGAGACGCGTCCCGGGGATCGGAGGTTCCAATGCAAGCCATGGATGATAGGTGAATGATTTGTGACAGCCGGATTTTTGGGAATCATACTCAATCCAGAATGTAAGCTACTTACGTCCTCACCAGAGCGTTGGTGTGGACATGATGTTTGATGTGAAATCGAAGGGGGGCAGTCGAGGTTCCGAAAGATCCTTCAAATCCTCCATTAACACTAACCCCCAAGTAATCCGACAGGGCGCCCAAACCCCAAACCCAAAACAAACTTTGACTCTGCAAATTCACCTTCATTTGAGCTGCTGCTTTGATCAACCATCTCCTCTGGCGAAAACTTTGGTACGCTTATTCGATCGGGTCTGACTCGAGCAATCTCCCAGTTTTCCACTCTCTTGCAAGCCCGCCCTGGATTCGACAGTGGAGCGTCCGTCATCCTCGTGGAGAAGGGAGAGTAACTAATAAGGAAGTTGACTAACGTTAACTAGTTACTGTAATTAATTACAGGTACGGCCGGCATCCGTCTGTGGCAACCGACTTTCTGACATACCGGTACATCACAGGAGCCCACTTGACTACAACATCACCACCATGTGCATACGGTATATCAAGTTTATACTTGCGGTTGCGAGGAATATGAGGAGTTCATGTAGTGCGACGAGCGGCTTGGCACCAATTTTACGATGCAACCCAAGTGCGCCGGAGGGCCTTACCTGACTCCCTCCACATGTGCAGGCAGCACATGGTGAAGGAGAGAAAGAATGAGATGCACAGATAAACTCGAGGCCCTTGTGTCAGAGCATCGTGCGCGGCACTGGCAACTGCCAGGGCTACAACAGTTCGATGGTGATTTAGCTGCGGTTCATGACATTCCGTCGCTGCCTCCAATGAGCGATCCAAATGAAACCCACTACCGTGTGCTGGTACTATTCAGTCTCAGCTCACGGTGCATTCGCCTCGTGCCTTCCCTTTGCCCGCAACGCCGGAGCGCGTCCCAGACTTCCGGCAAACTACTGTATACACCGAAGATGCTGCTTCTCATCTGGCGGCAGGCGCACGCGGCACCCCAATCTGGTAGCGGGCGGCGATGCTCCGCGCTCCAGGTGACCCACTCAATCCGCTCCGGGGACGCTACCCGAACACCACGGCTCGACGCAGTCCGCGTCCACACAGTCCCTCGGTTACTCTTCACTCGGGAACCGCTATAAGTCATAAGGGAGATTCATGGCCCGAATCTTCTTCTGCTCCTCGCAGGTTCAACCTCCCCTACGGCCCTTGCCGCTACAATGCAGGTCCCTAGCAGCCTCTCCCTCCTTGGCATCCTGCCTGCCCTGGCCTGCGCAGCAACCCTCACGCAAATCACGGCCCCGTTCGGCCCCAACCCGCGCAATGTCTCCTTCCACATCTACGTCCCCGACACCTTGCCGCCCAACCCAGCCGTCCTCGTCAACCCGCACTGGTGCCACGGCACCGCTCAGGCGGCCTTCCAGGGATCCCAGTGGGCGACCCTCGCCAGCAAGCACGGTTTCATCGTCATCTACCCAGGCAGCCCCAACGCGGCGGACCAGTGCTGGGATGTCTCGAGCAAAGAGACGCTCACTCACGAGGGCGGCGGCGACAGCCTCGGCATCGTCAGCATGGTGCGCTGGACGCTGGACAAATACCACGCCGACAGCAAGCGCGTCTTCGTCACGGGCGTGTCGTCCGGCGGAATGATGACGCAGGTGCTGCTGGGGTCGTATCCGGACGTGTTCGCTGCGGGCGCCGCGTTCGCCGGCGTGCCATTTGGGTGTTATGCGCCCAAGAATAATGCCGGGCAGTATGGCTACTGGAACGCGGAGTGCGCGACGGGCAAGGTGACGCATTCCGCTGAGCAGTGGGGGGATCTGGTCAGGGCGGCGTATCCGGAGTATAACGGGTGGCGGCCCAAGGTGCAGCTCTTCCATGGGACGAACGACGAGATTGTCAGCTACGTGAACCATGTCGAGGGGATCAAGCTGTGGGCTGATGTATTGGGGCTGAGCGAGACGCCGGCACAGATGGTGCAGAACACGCCGCTGGCGAGCTGGACGAAGAGCGTTTATGGGCCGACAGGATGGCTAGAGGCGTACAGTGCCCAGGGGGTGCCTCATGATATCAAGGTGCAGGAGAATACCGTTATGGCGTTCTTTGAGCTGAACTGCACCAGTAACTGCTTCCACTGGGGCAAGGGCAGCCCGTGCGGGGGAGGGGAGCCGTCAACAACGTCCACCACCGCGAAGTCGAGCTTGACCTTCGTGACCATCTCGACCAAGTCTTCCTCCACCACCCCGACGCCAAGCTCGGCCCTCGTGACCACCTCGACTAAGTCTTCGTTCACGCCTACGAGCACGACCTCATGGGCGAGCTCTACTACATCGGCATGCCATGCAACCTATGTTCCTGGCGGACAAGCCCTCTGGGCGCAGTGGTAAGCTCAAAGCTGTGTTAACCCTTGAAACTTGCGCTGATGACGAGGGTAGCGGCGGCATTGGATATTCCGGTCCGTCAGCTTGTGCCAATGGAGCTTGCACGACATACAACTCGTGGTTCGCTCAGGTATGGAAGACCCATCGACTTATTTGAGATCTGGACTAATCTGTACTTGCAGTGTGTCCCTACACCAGCGTGCACGGCACGTTGAACTATCTTGTAATCATGCATTCGATTGGCGGTGGATATCTTTTGGCGAACTTGGCCTTCCATCAATCCAGACAACATCCGTGGGCTCGACTTCGGTGACAGCCAGGCAGGAACTGCGAACAACAATTGGAACTTTTGAGTGTCTACCTACGTGGATCCTCCGGCTTGCTCCATGTCACTGATGAGTCACTGGCATTGTGAAGCATACCCCCGAGCTCCACCTCCATGTCAGGATGCCAATGGCCGTCGCCGAAACGGCGGCAAGCGGGATCCCGCGGCATCACAATCGCAGTGTGAAAAAAGGTGCCTGTCTCGTTGGACTTGGACGAAGTCCGGCGCAGGGAGTGGAAAAGGGGCCGTAGCGTGACCAGCGATGCACAGCTGATGCCGACATTGACCTCAACCGCGCCGTAAATGGCGCTGGGGATCTTGCCCCAAGTCGGGTCAGCTGAGGTACCTGATGGATACAGCGTGTGAAGTCGCAGGACGGAGATGATACAGGCCCTGGAGAGAAACAAGATGAGTGAGTAGACTGCCCATATGCACCTTGTTTTTGCCGTGGCACTGCAGTAGGATAATTGTGGGCACGTACGATCCACCAAAGGCCAGCACAACGCCGAGAAGCACCCGCTGCCTCAGCGGCGCATTGGAATGGCGCAGGATGTAGAGCGGGCTGAGGAGGATGACAAAGTCCATGGCCATGTTCCAGCCCTGAGAGGCAAACATGAACCAGGTGTTGTTGTAAATGCACCTCGCGCCTGGGATCCCGGGCGTCCACAGGGCGTGGAACGGTATGCAACGGACCATGCGCAGGACGATGAAGATGAGGTAGCCCGTGCAGAGGGCGGTGATTAGGATCTGGCATATTCGCTTCTCCGAAGGCAGGACACTGATACGCGCGTATTGCAGCAGAATGGACAGCTTGAGGAAGAAATGGGTCAGAGAGTAGAGCTGGGTTACGCCGCTGCCGACCTGGAGAAAGCACAAGTCTCAACCGTCTGTCATTCTTGAAGAGGGTACTTCTGGTCCAAAGCCGAAGGAGCCGAAGAGGAGGCGAAGGGAGTCTGGGGATTGTGTCTGTACCTTGGTGAACTCGACCATGTCCGCGGCTGATATGGTTTCTATGTGTCGTCCGCTACCGTACACAACAGCTGGATGGCAGTCAGAAAGGGTTTTTTTTCATGTGACGATACAAAGGTTTTGCTGGAGATGGTGTGGGAACCGGGCAGATGCACCCAACTGATTGACCACGGACATAGCCACGGTGCATGCCTGCGGCAGATATCAGCCTGTATCTCAAGTTCCCCATCCTTGCTCCAAGAAAGCAATGTTAAGGTTACAGGTAACTATTCAAGCAGAAAGACGTGAGAAAGGTGACTCCCATACCGCAGCAACGACGATACTCAGGTCCTCCCCGAACCGCTTCTTCATCAAAATGAGTCGTGTGTAGACGCGCAACGCCGTCAATATAACAGCAAAGATCGGGCAGACGATAAGAGCTGCGGTGAGCTGGTAGCCGCGTGACTGGTTCGCGCGACTTGGCTCCATGATGGATCGGAAAGGTAACGAACGGACGGCCGACGCAGGCGCGGCTCAAACCATGAAAGAAAGACTGTAGTTCAAACTATCTGAGATAATATAGCTGGGCCAGGAGACTCGAGCACGGCAACATGAGCTTGAGCTGTACAGATCCTTAGGATTCGCTCTCGAATCTCATAAAGTCTGCTGCATGTGTGAGCCCATGAGTCGCCGAGGGCGTCGCTGTTCATGCTTACCTGAGAAAGAAGGCTGTCCAACCAGCGGCCAAAAATCAAAGCCAGGGCCCTGGCCTAGACTGTTCGTTATCCTGACCACCGGGACAGTTCCCCGCGAATGGCGCAAAACCCGGTGACCGGGACCGCCGGGGCACTTCCCGTTCCGGTTGCTCACATGTTTAGCTCCCGCCACCGACCCTCACCCTCCCCGCTGTCGGGTCTCCAGTCTCGACGATCCCCGGTGCCGTGCCCTGAGAATCAAGGAGGTTGCCGCGCCTGATTGAAGAACCACCTGCGCAGTTTTGGGAGTCAATATAGATACAAGTGCCTTAATGACTAGGTAGAGCGAGCAGCGCAATAATGAGTAAGGGGACTGGCTAGGTCTCCAAAAACCACCCAACTTCTAAAGTGCCCAGATCCTCTGCAAAGATCGTCTTGTTGACTACATCGAGGCACTTGTACCCTAATCAGGTCCTAGCAAGGACCACTGTACTTGTTCGAAATCTCCACAGGCGCGACATACGACGCACTGGGCCCCGTCGCGTTGCCAAATACGACAATATCGCGGCTTACTGCTGTGTACTTCGGCCATATCTGGCCGAGCTCGTTGCGGGGGTCGGCCGACGGGTTGGAGGCGAAGGAAACCCAGAAGGCTGTGTTATACCCGAAGTCAGCTCCTCAGGATCTCGTTTCCGTTCTTGTCTTCTTCAGTTCGTTTGTGGTGATCGAGACGGGGGAGAGCGAGAGGTTAAGGTATTACCTTCCATCGCGTAGCCTGTCTGCCACTCTAGTTCGGTCGAGTTGCCACGGAACTGGTAGTGTGTGCCGAAGACAAGGGGGATGTCGGCTGGCTTTTGATCAGCACACGTTTACTGTCCTCATCTATTGCTTCTAATGATGACGGGGAAAGAGAGCACGAACAGCTGTGCATGCCGCCAAGCCAGTACCGAGGCGTGATGTTGGTGAAGTTGCCCGAGAAGAGGTAGCGTAAGTCGTCAGGCCGTACACGCTGCGGTTCCTGCGCGGCATGGATTAGCCCACCTGACAAGATAGGGTACCTTACACACAGACCGAAGCGCAGCCAGACTTACAACATCTCGCGTCTTACACCGCATGCCAGCCCTCCAGCTCCTGGGGCAGTAGTCCCATTCGGCGCCGTTGTGGCATTGATGTCGAAAGGCAGAAAGGCAGCCGCCTCATTGTACGTGAATCCCGTGATCAGTGGCTACGACCCCCGGGTCACGTCGTGTCTTGGGTTAGTGTGACATGTGCCCTGTGCAACTAACCAAGTCTCTGCCGCCTGTGAGCAAGAAGGGCAAACGTACCAGCTTAGCAACCATCCCCTTTTCGAGCCGTTCGGTTGTGTTTGCAAAGACGGTGATGTTGTCAGCGATGGGCCGGAAGAGGCCGCGGTTGGGATCCGGGCTGGCTTGAGTGACCTTCTGCTGCAGCACCAGAGCGTCGATCCCTTGCATGCACTCGAGCTCCGCCGTCGCCGTGAGGTTGGTGCACCCAGCCGTCTGTGCCATGTCATGAAAGAGGGAGCTGTCGTTGGGTGGGTGGTCGGAATGCCGGCCGACGAGGCGATGAAGCCGCGGACAATGGGCTTCTCCGGGTACGCATATGCTTGTGTCAAGACTGCGGTGGCACCTGCAGACTGGCCGTAGAGAATCATGCGGTTTGGGTCTCCTCTGTTTACCGGGAAACTATTCTCAGCGGGACAAGGCGACAGACATGAGCCCATAACACTTACCCAAATCCCGCAATGTTGTCGCTAAGCCACTCTGTACTACTTTCGAGTGTTAGTGCGGCAGAGGTCCGGTGTTCCGGGGATCGAGAATCGTACATAAGCCGATTATCCATGAGCCCAGCGTTCTTGTTCGCGACCGGCGAGTTAGGGAAGCCGAAGATGCTAAGACGGTAGCTGGGCAAACGGACAAGGGAAGTATCAGCACATGAACTCCTTCTCATATGGCAGACCTACAGGCAACCTGAGGAACTTACTTGAAGGTGACAACAATATGTGTTTGTGTCCTCTGGATCCATTAGTCCGGGATCATATACGGCCCATGACCGCCGCCCTCCTTGAACCCGCCGCCCACCACCCATATGATGACGGGCACCTTCTTCTGCACGGGCTTTCGTGGACTCCAGATGTTGAGATACAGGCAATCCTCGCTCTGGGGGTCGTCGTTCTGAAGCTCAGGGAGGAGCTCCCAGAAGACGCCCGTCCTGTTACCGTTGATTTGGACACAGATGGGCTTGTAGGCCTTGGCATCGGCAACGCCGTAGTTGGGCGCCTTCTCAGGAGGCATGAAGCGTCGGGCCCCGACGGGTGGTTGAGCGTAAGGAATGCCGAGCCACTGGTTCACGTCTGGGGCCGAGGAGCTGACCAAGCCTGTGTAGATGCCGCTGGTGGTTTTGACGGTGAGACCATGATTTGGCCACACCGTGCCCAGGTCTGTGGCCCCTGCTAGGGCACCCAGCTGGATGAAAGAACCGAAGGTGTGAAGCCGCATCTTGATGGTTGGACAGAACAGAGAGTGAAGGACGAGAAGATGGAGAGAAGACGATCTTGATCATTTCGAGGCGGTCAACAGATTACAGATTAAAGTCAGCCTCTGGATTGCATGGAGGTGGAGAAGGACCCATTGGATTTCCTGGTTCCTACTGGACCTGGTAGTAGAAGCATCCTACGGCTAACCTATTCGACATTGATGCTATGCAGGACGCAGGACGGGAGGGGTAGCTGGTGTGTTTCAGCGGGTGCCAAGACATTTCAGCCAGAAACGGGTTCGTCGAACCCTGAAGCGTCATGCGTGCTGACGGTGCATGCTGAGGCTGAGGTTAGTTGCCTGGCATGACGGATTCGAGTGGGATGCCCCCGAAGGGGATATGTCTTTATCGCGTTGAAGGGGCCGTCGCGAAGCCGCTGTATTGTATTCCAGTGCGCGGATGGCTTGATCCTAGGGATCCTAATCAGCTCGGTCGTAAGGGAAGCTGGCTGGCGGCGCAGCATGTCGGCCATCTATCATCAGTGCGTTGAGCTGATCGAGGAGCTCGATCCGGCGCTTGTGGTGGTAAACTTTGCCTTCTGGCCTGCCATGGACGCCGTCCAGCATCTGAACCGACACCACGACGTCATAAGCACTCCCGCGTTGGCAGATATCTTTGCCGTGCAGCAGCCGTATGGGTCTAGCCTCTGGAAATATCCCGTGTGAGTACTTGGAGCGTGCTCTCGACAATGAGAGATCTAAACCGACATAGTACATCCCATGGAACCCAGTTTGGGCAGGGGCTTCCCAATCCCAGTCCCGCGGCGTTGCATCCCAGAGAACATGAACGTCTGCCTGCGGGTGATTTACAACCTCTTCGTCAACCTCTCAACCGAGGCCGCGGTGTGGCACCTCGGGAAACGAGATGCCGCCGATGGCGTTATATGCGGCGGAGCCATCGCCCTTGAGTCAGCGCCAGCAACCGAGCAGGATCTCGTGCTGGCGGCGTGGGCACAATGGGCACCAACAGTAGCCGTCTACCTGGGAAGCCTGGTCCGTTATGACAATGAATGGGCGACCGTCGTGGCGAGGGCCTTACGGGCAGTTCTCATGACTCCATGGTCCAAGTGTTGTGGCAGATGGCTGGGAATCCTGGCGTTGACGACGCCTTGTCCGAACTGCTAATCGAGTACTTACGCCGGGAACGAGCGCGAATTATGAGTGACTGAGTGTCGACACTGACAAGGTTGCATTTGCTGCAGCTCGACAAGGTCATCGCGTCCCTCGGAGTACCAAGGGGCTTTGAAGAGCTACTAATGGCCTACAACGAAAGCCTTGCGTGAGAATTACACACCGTCGATGTTCAGGCCCAGTCTTCGAAATAACCAAGATGGTTTCCGGTGGGAATCTCGGTGCACCCGAGTCTCCAAGAGTCATGCTGTGTCGTGATGACGGAGTGAAACATTCACCGGCTAAGCATGCCGACCCAGTGAAGGACCCCTTTTATCGCCCTGGAACGCGGCCTTCTTATCTACATGTTACCTGGCTATCTTCCCCAGGGTCCTTCCCGAAGCCACTGCAAGGGACCGACCACTGAAATCGCCAAGGAAGGTCCTTTGTGGGGAAGACTGGGACAAATACCTTAGCGAGACGCAGACCAGACTGTCGGGAACAGCCCCGCGGAACGTCCGTTGATGCTGTGTCGGGTTCGAATGCCGTTCGTGGCTGTGAGGTGTTGATAAGATATCCAAACACTGTATGCCCTGCTGTTCTCATCGTTGACTGTGGGCGGCGAGGGCGGCCAGTGTGAGGTGGGCGCTGGGGACTTTGTTGCTACAGTTTCCTGCATGTCCAAGTCCAACACTGTGATGGCCAGCCCAGCATATGCCGAGCCTGCCGGTCTCGCCAGACTGGGTGGTCAATCGATGCAAATCCCGCAGATGAAAGTGATGTCAATTTCTGTCGGCAAATGGTGTTGTACTCACTCCAGTGTATGCAGTAATAGCCGGCCGGCTTCAGAGGAGGATTGAGAACTGGAAGCAGGCAACGAGTGGTCGAACAGGAGTCAAAGATCCCTACCGATCCGAGCCGGATGGCCTTCCGCTGCGTGGACCTCGGGTGGATGTTCGCTGCGCTTCTCCACATCTTAGCCCCACCTCAGTGACAAAGGGCGGGGCGAGAGGAAAATGCTCAACTGAAGGGGTGGGGGCCACCTGCGGTTTCCCACCTCGCTGACTGGCTCCTTGCCTTGTGAATCTGCGACTTGCATACAGGTTGTACGTATTCGCCCGAGGAAAAGCCATGAATTCGAGTTTGAACGATTGACGGTTATCAGATGGCCTCCGAACACGGCCCGCCCGTCAACGAAGGATCCGATCCATCGATTCTTCCAATTTGATCGTCGACCTCCCCCGCGTGGGTAGGTGGGTCCTGGGGACCCGAGCTTCGAAGCTTGCGGTTAGCCGGTAAGCGGCTAATATGGCACGCAAACCTGATCCAAGACCGCAGAAGCCCCGAGCGAGAAGCAACTGACAGGTTACTGCGCCTCGCAGCAAATGCCAGGTCCTGAATGCGAATCAGCCAAGGCCTGCTGCATCCCAAATTTCGCGATTTCGTGCCGTCACCGGTGCCGCCGCGCCGAGTCTAGGGGCGGTGAAATGGCACCAACTCTCAGCGCCCCTGCAGACGGATACGGGGTCACCTGATGGAGGCCGTGGGTTGCAACGCCCGTGTACCATGACGTTCCAGGTTGGCATCCTTCCGAGTCCGCAGCCTCGACTTGAACCAAAAGCACGCCTGATCCGGCCCCCAGGATCTCGAACCTTTTCACTGCTTCACTCTCTCATGGCGCACAATCAAGGCTCCAATCTCAGACGGAATCACGCCTTTGCTCACCTTTCCTGACGCTCTGCAGGCCACCGCCCTCCCAAAGCCGTTAGTGGACTCCTCTCACACACAGCAGCAGCATGACCAGAGAGGCCAGTATATTGCGGCCGTCCGACAATGGACGCCGCTACGAGCTCACGAGCCCCACGGTCATGCCCAAGGCCGGCGGCTTCTTGTGGAATCAGAGAATGATGATCCAGATTACCTGCCGCGGGTACGCCACCGCCCAGTTCATGCAGCCTGAGCCGGCAAAGTACGCCTATGCTCCCAACATCGAGGCCAAGACTTTCATGCAACCAGAGCCAAATTACTACGCCCACCACCCGGGCCGCTTCGTCTATATCAAGGACCTTGAGACTGGGCAGCTCTTTTCGGCGCCGCACGAGCCCGTCCGCTCTACCCCTGACCGGTTCGTCTTCTCAGTCGGCACAAGCGATGTCGCCTGGATGGTGGAGCACTTGGGCATCCGCGTCGAGATGGTCATGGGTCTGCCGACGCACGACGTGGCCGAGTTGTGGACCATCAAGGTGACAAACATATCCGGCCGCCCTCGCCGGATCAGCGTGACGCCGTACTTCCCCATCGGATATATGTCGTGGATGAACCAGTCGGCCGAGTGGAACCAGGAACTGGTTGGAGTGGTTGCCAGCTGCGTCACCCCCTACCAAAAAGCCACCGAGTACTTCAAGAACAAGCATCTCAAGGACAAGACGTACTTCTTGTGCGAAACGCCGCCGGATTCGTGGGATGCGCGCCAGCAGGCATTTGAGGGAGAAGGCGGGCTCCACAACCCGTCCGGCCTGGAGGAGCCGCAGCTCAGCGGTAGTGACGCCCGCTACGAGACGCCCACAGCCGCCGTACAGTACCGCATCTCGCTTAACCCGGGCGAGGAGCGCGAGTACCGCTTCATGTTTGGGCCCGCCTACGACGAGGCCGAGATTTTCAACATGCGCTCGCGCTACCTTAGCAAGGAGGCGTTTGTCCGGACGGCGGACGAGTACGCGGCCTACATGGAGGCAGGCCGCGGCTGCCTGCGCATTGAGACGCCTGACAATGACCTCGACAACTTTGTCAACAACTGGCTGCCCCGGCAGGTGTACTACCACGGCGACGTCAACCGGCTGACCACGGACCCGCAAACCCGCAACTACCTGCAGGATAACATGGGCATGAACTACATCAAGCCCCAGGTCTCCCGCAAGGCCTTCATCACGGCGCTGTCTCAGCAGGAGGCCAATGGAGCCATGCCGGACGGCATCCTGCTGGCCGAGGGAGCCGAGCTGAAGTACATCAACCAGATTCCCCACACCGACCACTGCGTCTGGCTGCCCGTGACCCTGGATGTCTACCTCGCCGAGACAGGTGATTATGGCTTGCTGAAGGAGCGCGTCCGCACCGAGAACGGCGACAACTTCACCGTGTTCGAGCGATTCAGCCGCGCCATGGACTTCCTCCTCAAGCTGCGCGACGAGCGCGGACTGAGCTACATCGCGCAGGGCGACTGGTGCGACCCGATGAACATGGTCGGCTACAAGGGTAAGGGCGTGTCGGGTTGGCTCACTCTGGCCACCGCCTACGCGCTGAATCTCTGGGCCAACGTCTGCGAGCACGAGGGCGCCGCCGATCTCGCAGAGCGCTTCCGCGCGGGGGCCCGAGACTGCAACGACGCTGCCAACAAGCACCTCTGGGACGGCGACTGGTTTGCCCGCGGCATCACCGACGACGACGTCGTCTTCGGCATCAAGAAGGACCCCGAGGGCCGCATCTGGCTCAATCCGCAGTCCTTCGCCATCCTCGGCGGCGCCGCCAGCCAGGAGCAGGTCGCCCGGATCCTGCCGCAGGTCGACGAGCAGCTGACCACCCCCTACGGCATGCAAATGTTCGCCCCGCCCTTCACCAAGATGCGAGAGGACATTGGCCGCGTGACGCAGAAGGCCATCGGGTCGGCCGAGAACGCGGCTGTTTATAACCACGCGGCTGTCTTCTACGTCTACAGCCTGTACCGGCTCGGCGGCCAGCAGGACCGCGCCTACACATATCTCCGCCAACTGCTGCCCGGCCCGAGCGAGGAGGACTACCTCCAGCGAGGACAGTTGCCCATCTTCCTGCCCAACTACTACCGCGGCGCCTGGCGCGAGTTCCCCCGCACGGCGGGGCGGTCCAGCCAGTTGTTCAATACCGGCACCGTTTCTTGGGCGTACCGGTGTGTCATTGAGGGATTGTGCGGCCTACGCGGGGATGCGGATGGGCTGGTGATCCGGCCGCAGCTACCGAGCGGGTGGGACGCGATTAAGGTGACGCGTGAGTTCAGGGCCGCCACGTTCGAGCTGGATATCACGAGAGGAGATGTGAAGGAAGTAACTATAAAGCTGGGGGACAGGGTTTTGCCAGAGCCCAAGATCACGAGCATCAAAGCTGGGGAGACGTATCGGTTGTCTGTAGTGGTGCCGCGGTAGGGTTTGACCTTGATAAGGTAGCTAAGGTAGCTACTCGATGTTGATGTGTGAGCAGCCCAGATGTATTGCCGGTTGTGAACCATTAGATAAATACCAGTGTACATGCATTCAAATCCACGCCGCCAGTAACATATCCCCCCGTCTCAAGCCTCGAATCAAGCGAAGACAGCTAAGCGTGCCCGAGCCGTCAATTACTCCGCCTCGGAATCCTCCTGCTTCTCAAACCTCCTGTGCTTGGGTTCTCCGCCGAGGCATCACATCGGCACCCTCCTCCAAATCCACCGATGCCAGGGCAAAGTCTGTCACGATTCAATGCAGCGTCTTCCACGACTTCGCTCACAGTCATTTCACTCAGACTTTCGGAGGTCTGCGACTCGGAGACAGCACTTCCCTCCTGATCGCGATCCTCCTGAAGAACTTCCGGGTGAGACTCGTACGGGCTAGAATTCTCCACATCGGAGTCCGAGTCCGGATGATGGTCCATACGTCAAGTTGTTCATTCAATACTCATCAGGGTCATTGATGATGTTCCGTGATCGACATGAAGGGCACTTCGTCCCAGACTGGTTGCCTGGCGAGAACGCCTTCGAGAAACAGCGAGTGGAGAACTTGGTCTGTTTCAAGAATTGTGAGGTACTAGCAACTATTGTCCGAGCGAAGTTGGAGACTTACCGAAACGCAACAGCTCGTCCCAAGGGAACTCGATAATGAAAGTGATGCAAATCGCCTCAAGATCGCGGCCAGCCCCATCTCAACGTCAGCGAAAATAATCCATGCCTCCTTCCCTTTCGCCGACAATGAACTCAGGAACGGAAAGGAGGAATGCTTCAATTTTGTCCGAGCTTAGGATCAATATTCTAGTACTGGCATGTCAGTATAATGTGTTCCGTAGCGGGTGAAGAAGGTGTATTACCTGTTGTCAAAGTCGATGCCGTAGTTTTCATGACGAAACTCCTTGAATTGGTTGATCCATAGTTTCATAATGTCGTCGGCGGCAGGGACTCCAGTTGACGGCATGAGGCTTCGTAGCTCATGCTCAAACTGGGACAGTTCCTCCGAGGTTATCCTCACCCTGCGACTCCCGACGTCAGGGCCAGGAACGGAGTTGTCGTGGCCAGGACCAGAGCAGAATTGTTCAAGTTGTCGTCGGTGTCCATGGTTCGAGTCGCGTCTGTCTGACTTATGGGTGCTAGAACGGAGCTTCGGAGGGTGTGAGGGACGGCCACGCTGATGATGGATCGATGGATGTCTCTTGGGTCTTGTTGGGGCCGATGAGACTCGAACAATGTACAGACTGATAGATTTTCGCAACGGAGAACTTCTGTGGGATTGACTAATGTGCGAGGATGCCATCTCCAAGCCATTAGGGCACGTGTGCCTTGTTGCTTGACCTCTTAGGGAAGATGCGTCGTGGGAAGGAGTGACGTGGTGCTAAACTGCCTGATGTCGGCACTGAGCATTTCCGCAAATGGTACTTTGGTACCGTACTACTCATAACCAGAATCCGTACTGTTGACTTTGAGGAGACGGTGTATAAGTTTCATGTTGTTGGCCTAGGGCCCCCTGGTTTGCTGCTCTCTGCCGCAAAGGCTCCGCAGGACGTTCGCAATTGCTAGGAAGGATTTCGCAGGTGTCTGGGCCTTCGTGGTAAAATTCTTCGGCTTCTGATAGTTGCCGGAAATTGTCGACATAAAGTATTGCCGAGTTGCGTGCCTACGTCCACTGTAGTGCTCGCGGGACGTTCACGATCGCCGGGAAGGACGATCGTACGGTGTCCGGCAGCTCGAGGCCCCACAACCGCGGAGAGGTGTCGAGCAAAGCCCGACATCCCCCCGGCAGTGTGCGGCTGGCTCCCGAGAAGCACCAAAGGTGGTATTGTGTCGAGATGTGAAGTAGGGTGCGGTGAGTTGAGCATACGGTGCAGCCGCGATGATGACGAAGAACACGTGTTGTCAGTGGAAGGCATGGTGATGGTGGTTGAAAACTGCTCGGATGTAGAGTTGGGGGGAAGGAATGATCGCTGAAACTTTTGGAGGCCGGGGAAGTAAATAAAATCGCAGAAAATTTTCAGAGGGAGAGTCAGTAATCGACTTGCGGAACCAGGTTGAATGGTTGAGCGGGCACATGTTAGCAAGGGATGGCAGATGGGACGGAAGAGAATACGCCGAATCATGGGGCGTCCAATGCCGTAGCAACTACCGTAACATGCACCCTTCTCGCCAAACACGCCGCGGGGATGGAAAGGACGACTCGGAGAAATGGGTTTGAAGCCGCAAACACTGCCACCCAACTTGGATACTCGCGTAGAAAGTAAACGACAGTCTCCAAAGGCCATTTTGTGATGCAGAGATCCCACCCCAGAGGGCCCAGACAAACCAGCCCACTCGCGCCAGTGAATTCGCAAGACCTTCAGCGACTGGAATGCACAAGCCATCACAACGACACCCATTTGGGTATACCTCTCCTCCTGTCCAGCGGCGTCGGATGATCTGTCCTTCAAAATATTGAGGTATTTTATCAACCCAGACACTCGCAGGTTCTAGAGGTATACCAAATCAATGTCGGCTGGTAGAGTGCGGAGTCCAGAACGCGTTTCTGTGCCATACCCCTGACTCTCAACTGACTTAGCCCAGAATTACTTCTGGAATGTCCTTGAAGCTGTGGCGATGCAACGCTGATCCCAACCAGCAGAGCCGGCTTCCAGCCGCCAACATGCTGGCTGATGGCTGTTTTCCTAGTCAGGGGTCTGAGCCGATGGCATACTGCTCGAGTACGGTGAGGGAGCGGGACTCCGCGAGCTAGGCAACTCGGCAGGAAGGGGTTCATTGAGCTAGCTACTAACACCTCTCCTTGAGCAAAAGAGCCAAACCGGTGCATGGAAGCTGTTCGTCAACCCGAAGGAAGGATATCAACACTCGGGTTCTGAGCCCTGAGATGGGCCAGAATCGATGAGTCGATGACTGTTCCCCGAGTGGCAGAGAGGTTGTCGGAGAGGATCGTCGAACCGCGAGAGTTGCTCTCGCCAAGCTTCGTCCTCGAAAGGGGGATAACACAGATCCAGAGCCGCATGTGATCTGGACTAGAGACAGCCCTACCCAAAAACAGCTGTTCCTTGCGAGAATTCATTGACTGACAAACAAGCACTTCCCTCGTGTGCAGGTACCTTAGTTATATAGTCTCGTTAGTGGCAGAAGGGGCACCGTTGATGTGCATGAAGACCCGCGATATTGGATCGGCAATTGCAGTGCCGGTGTTGTTGAGCGGTTCTCGGCACGGCGATACCCGTATGCTGGCTGTCACAAAGCGAGACAGGCACGATGTGACGCTGCTGTCGATACTTCCGCAGTAGGGTGACCGGTTTTGTTGTGCATGATGATGGTGCTTATACATAAATGGTGCTTCCAACTTTTGAGCATGGCTGGTGATTGGCAATTTGGCGAGACTGGTCGGCCCCCCTATAACATTATGTTGGACTTGCATTGAACTTGAAAAACAGGGGTGATGATCTCTTGAGCAACTCTCGTGAGCCACTTCGGGGAGCGACTTGCGAGGCAATGCCGTCAAGCGATTAACTTGATGGCTCCGAGATTTGAAGCAGTGAATATATCCCAAGAGCAGCCCATTACTGTACTTTATCACAAGCCTGGGTCTTGCAGCAAGGTCGTGGAGGGGTAAGGATTCGGCTCACTGCCCGTTGTGGTTAGGGGAACGATGACGGAAACGGTCCGTGCGCGCTCCCCGCATTTTGGCAGCTTCGAGCCTGACTCGTCTAGCTTGAAAGATCTTCATGGGCTGGGCCTGGATCACTTTGCAATGGACATTTGAACACGCCGAGCTAGGGCACAACAGCACAACAGGATGCAATACGCATATCGCAATCACTGCGTTCGTGTACATCGCGAGCTCCGTCCGCTTAGCACGTACAAGCACCGGTAGGAACCCCGGCCACTCGTGCCGGCACTTGCCTTATATGGAGCTCCTCGAATTCTGATACCGTGATGGCTGGTCAGCCTGGTTCGCCCCTGCATCGCTCATCCAGTTTCAAGTCTGCCGGTATCCCAGCACAAGGGCCATTTGTTGTTTCTCCGAGTTCCCAAGCACGGTCATTTGACGCAACGAAGATGTATCAACATTCCGTGACGGCCTTGCGTGCATACATTCAATTCCGTCGACGCAAGTTCGGGCTGGCCGGAGAGACCAGGGCAAGTTGCGGGGCCTCGAACCGAGGCGGTCTGTGCCCATCCGGTGCCCTGTCGGCACACGCGAATCTTTCCGAGATGGGCTCTCTTGGTTTCGACTGGTGCCTACCGCGAACTGAAAGCGCCACAGCACATGGCGATCCAGATAAGGTCTCACATCTCAGACTTTGTTTTACCATGAGAAATGCACATGCAGGTACGGAGTACCTCAAGCAACGCTGCCCTTTGCCGCCGGGCAGCTGCATACCTTCCCAATTCCAGGCTTTTACGAGTGAAGCGAATCGGTACCACAGAAGTTCAGGAGGGCTGCCAATCATCTCAACCACCGCGCTGGTAATGCCCTCGTCGGTGGGGAATCCCTGGCTCATAACGGCCGCCCAACTAAGCCAACCCAGAGGATCTCCTTTAAACGATCAGTTCATTTCGTTGGCGCTTCTTTTGATCACCGGTCTCAGTTCTGCAGTACTTTTCACTCGTTGATGGAGGATTCTGAGTGCTAATGTGACCCAGGGAGTCCCGCCTGCTCACCCATGACCTCGCGCCAACAGCCCCGTTCGAGCCTCTTGCCGAGACCTGGCCACACCAAACCCAAAGTCTCTTTGAGGTTTCCTGCCGCAGGAAAACCGTGCAGCTGCTGCCAGAGTTTGCCACTCGGTAGAAGGCATCCGCTTCAGAGCAACAAGCATCAGGGCAGCATCAGAAGATCCTGGCGTCTTGGCTGCAGAGGTTGTCCGAGTTTGGCAGCCAGACCCTTGACGGCTCGGCGCACATCAACACCACTCCCACAGCGGCCACTGAGAAGTGTTCTGCCAAATTACTTTTGGTTTGCCCAGCCATAACTAGCGCGCAACGATGTTGCATGGAAGTGTCCATGCGATCAACGTGCCTGGCGAATTGATTCCCAGTTGCGGTCTGGACTTTGTTGGCCAGTCTTCATATGTCTTTGAGCTCCCTGCATGTCATGCTGTGCGATAGCTTGAAATGGCAAACGTGCCCGTAAGCGGCATCCTTCTCAAATCTCGCTTTCTTCTTTCAACTTTAATTCCACGCCTCTGCTTTGCCGCCGCCTGCTTCGGCTGCTCACTCACCCTCGACGCCAGCCTGCGGAGCTGACTGAGGTTTGGACATTGGGTCCCTCCGAGCGCCAAAAGGCCCTACATATGCCCCAGGTCCATATTGTTCCCAGAATCTAGGTGTAATTCCTAGCCTCCTAGGGGTATCCGGGGACCAGTGCCAAGGACAACTGCAGCCATGAAAGGAGTATCACCGAATGATGTTCAGAGCGTGATTGCAATTGAGCAGGTGAGCTTCTTGAACTAATACCAAAGTAACTTCAATTAATGAGATATCATAGGCATGCTCAACCTTAAGCTTACTGGGCTGTTGCTTTGTTCTGGCGACCTTTAGTCTCAGCGATGCGTTCCGCCAGCGAGCTGTAAGTACCCCTTTACGGCTGCTCAATAGCCATCCTGCTCCCGAGATCGCGCATGTTGCTCCCGTAACCCGTCTGGACCTTTCCGGACTTGGACACTCAATGCTGACATTGTTGGTAGGTCAATCGCTTGGTTTTCCTCGCGACGTTTGGCAACCTCATGACAAATGTGCGTTCCACATGCCCCTTCCTGGACCTTCCAGAAGTCGCTCTGCCAAGCTACTCTCGGCAGCCATTTAAAACCATGAACTGACTGAGACGGGTTCGACAGGTGGCTACTTTGATGACAACAAGCTACACCCATAACCCGGACTCACCAGCGTGCCAGGTGCAAGCACTGTTGATCCAGGTGTGAGTTTCCTCCCAACTCGAGGTGGCAAGCTCCGTTCTCATTGCTTCACAGATTCATGCAGGGCGACGCCTATTGGGCTCTGGCCATGGCCATCAACGTTTACCTGACTTTCTACCGAAAGTACGATGCCAGGTAATAAATCGGCCCCGCCCGCCACAAACATGAAGCACCTGACGCTGACAGGACACAGGCAGCTCAGGAAAATGGAGATCCCTTATTTCCTCTGCTGCTACGGGATCCCGTTTATCCCGGGCCTCACCTTCATCTTTGTATCGAACGAGCACGCGGGGAGGCCGTACGGTGATGCATCGTTATGGTGCTGGCTGAAGTCCGAGTGGGAAGTTTATCGCATAGCCACATTTTACGGCCCCATCTGGTACGACACTCAACGCTCAGCCCCCAACTGCGAGACCTGTTGCGGCAGCTAACAACCATAGGGTTGCAATCCTGATCTCAGGGGCAATCTATGTCTTTGTGTGGGGGGAGGTGCGGCGCGCCCGCCAAAGATTACTCAACTTCAGCTCTACAGGCAATGGCACGGCCGTCGGCAGCGAGCCATTCTCGCCAGATAGCCAGTTTTCCACTGCCTTCAACTTCAAAATTACCGAGGTCACTCAGACGACTGAGATTATCCACCCCCCCGCGCCCACGGCGAAGCCACCTGCAAGCGCCATCTCAGCTGGTCCCAGAGCCGCCCACTCCGTCACCATCTCCTCAGGTACGGAGGCCACCAACCAAATCGACATGGGCCCTTCTCTAGAGGATGTCGAGCTTTCCAGCAATGTGCAGGGAGCGCCATCTATCACAACCAAGAGCAGCAGCGGCAAGCGCATCCGTATCATGCCGACGACACAAATTTCAACGGCCCCAACCGTCACAGCAACCGTCACCACCAACCACCATGCCGCTAACATGAACGCATCGTCCCGTCGGCGCAACTTTGGGTCAGAAGCCAGCTGGGCATACTCAAAATGTGCAATCCTCTTTTTCTCCGTCCTCCTTATTACCTGGATCCCGTCGTCGGGCAACCGCGTCTACAGTTTAGTAAACCGCGGGGAGGTTTCAAGGCCACTCTTCTTTGCGTCAGCCTTTGTACTGCCTCTTCAGGGGTTTTGGAACGCTATCATCTACGTCTTCACGTCCTGGGCGGCCTGCAAGAGTCTGTGGGGGTACTGTGTTGCTGGCCTCGCGGGGTGGCGGGATTGGGCTACTTTTAGGGCGTTTGGCTGGCGGAGGAGGGAAAGTGTTATTGAAATATTGGATCAACGTAATGGGGTTGCGAGGAGAAGCTCGAGGGGAAATAATGCTTCTAAAGTGGGGATCTGGGTTGGCGGAGGGAGAAAGGACACCGGTAGGGAGAGCGACGGGAGCTCCATGGAAAACTTGACGCGAGAGGGCAGGTCAGAGAGATTATCGCCTGTATGAGGAGGGTGGATGTAACATTTGATGGCTGGCGACTATCTAATGTTGGTATTGAAGATAGGACAACAGTCACAAGCAACCAACTAGGTGCGGTGCCCTAACATCCACTTTCTCGTCCACGCTATCTATCAAGAGGCTCTGATCATGAACAGTGGGACAACTTCGTCAACAGCCACTTGCAAAACACAGTGTGCGAGCAAGAGCCACGTCAAGGGTGAACGAGAAGTTTCAGTTGCAACACCATTACCTTGGGTACCTAAGGCAGGTATACCTTGAAGCTCCTAGAGCATGCGTTTCAACCTGTCGTGCGCTCGGCACCCCTAGATGCAAGCCCCTTCTACTACATGTAGTATGAACTGCGTGAGGCACTGGTATCTTTCATGCAAGCATCCCGCAGCAATGCTTCGAGCAGGCCTTGGATAAAAAAACCAAAGTGTTGCTGGTTTCGAAGCTGTTCATGGCCAGAACTCCGTTCCTGACCACAAGCGGTTACCTCTTGACAGACATAGATCTGCTGTTCTCCAAGGCATGATAAAATACCGGACAGAGGGGGTCAGTAGACCTACGCCATGCAATAAAGCCATCACAACTCATGTAAGGGCTGTCTCGGCTGCGAACCTTATCTCATATCTTCATTGGTGGGCTCCCAGGATGGATGGATGGAATTTATTTCGCCCGGAGGCACGAAGCCTATGGGGCCTTGGCACGCTAACTACATCCAATTCCTTGACGTTCAACCATCAACTCGTACAAGCCCTCTACTCTCTCCCCTTTTCTCACGCCACCTGTTGCCTCTTGACTTAGTTTAGCAGATCGACTTGGAGGCTGCATTC